GCTTGTGGTTTAAATAAATCAGCACTAAAATGAAGAAAGACGGACTCCTTCATTATTCAGATCTGTCCAATAAAAGAACTGGGGTATTACAGTATATTTATAGGTATTGCACTGAGGGTTATTGTCCAGTCATACTGTCATTGGTTAAGTGTTCATCAGAGGGATGGCCTGGGGGAAGAAACTGTCCCTGTGCCTGGTTGTCTTGGTGCACAGTGACCTGTAACGCCGTCCAGAGGGGAGGAGTTCAAACAGATTGTGTTCAGGGTATAAGGGGTCTGCAATGATCCTCTCTGCCCTCCTTTTGACCCGTGAGGTGTACAAGTCCTCCATGGAGGGCAGGCTCACACCAATGACCTTTTCTGCAGTCCTGACTGTCCTCTGAAGTCTGTACTTGTCCTGTTTGGTTGCTGAGCCAAACCAGACAGTGATGGAGGTGCAGAGAACAGACTGGATGATTCCTCTGTGGAACTGTATCAGCAGCTCCTGGGGCAGGTTGAACTTCCTGAGCTGGCACAGGAAGTACATCCTCTGCTGTGCCTTCTTGGTGATGGTCCTGATGTTGGACGTCCACTTCAGGTCCTGGGAGATAGTGGAGCCCAGGAACTTGTAGGACTTCGCTGCTGATACAGTACTGCTGTGGATGGCAGGGTTTTTCCTAAAGCCCACTGTCATTTCCACTGTTTTGAGTGTGTTCAGCTCCAGGTTGCAGTGACCACACCACAGGACCAGCAAGGGGTCTACGATGTCCTTCAGGTGGGCCGACACCAGTCTTTCAAAGGACTTCATAACTACAGATGTCACGGCGACAAGTCTGTAGTCGTTCAGTCCACTGATGGAGGTTTTCTTGGGGACTGGAATGATGGTGGAGCGTTTGAAGCAGGAGGGGACTTCACACAGTTCCAGTGACCTGTTGAAGATAAGTGTGAAGATGGGGGCCAGCTGATCAGCACAGGCTTTCAGCCAGGAGGGGGTCACACCATCTGGGCCTAGTGCCCACGCACAAGTACCAACAATATGAGATGGAGCATGTCTAGAATAGAACAAGAAACTATTGAACCCCTAGAAATAACTTTCAAATATTAAGGAAAGCCTAAGAATATATGTGATCTAGCCTGATTAAAAAGTGAGCCAGTTTTGTGGTGCCAGGAAACCTGAGCTGAGCCTTAGCTAGATAAGCCACTGACCTCATCTTATGGTACAGGATCCAGGTGGTGTTCTTCATACAACCTAAACAGATCCGACATCAAATGAGCAATCCTCTAAATCATCTTAATTTATTAAAAACTCTTTAGATGATGAACTTGTGTGCACTTGAATTCTGATTACTTCATATAATCTCTGGATTACAGGTAAATAAAGTAAGAGAATATTCTGCAGACTGGTATCACTGTAACGTCGCCTATTACTCTCAGTTCTACTACAGTTATTGTTAGTTTTTCTTTGTAGCTTTTCCTCAATAACCATGACCGTTTTTAAATGAGGTTTGATTTTCTCCACATTTAGCTTTTTTCTGAGAAACATTACAGCACTTTTCCTACAAATAATTAACACATTTCAGCAACTAATTAAGTACAGTTGTCTATGATTTTAACATTTATTGCTTGTTTATCGCTTTTCTTTAGTTTCATTATGAGTTTACAGTAGTAAATTGGGCATAAACTGTAGGGGTGGGAACCTTTCTGAAGTGACTGTGGCCTAAATACTGTCAGCTCTGCTAAACCGACAACTTGGCCACAGCTATTGAGAAAAATTGTAATAATAGCTTTAGATCCTTTGTTTTTATGGCACATGGGAAGAAGGCACGACTCTGATAACTCACGGGAACAGTTTCAGAGCCAGGTACACTTTTAAAATAGCTCAAACTCTCTTCTTTATTAATTTTTCCACATCAACAACCCAGTATAAAAGACTGCCCCTGGCGAGGAACCTCAGGTCAGTGGTGGTCTGAGCGCAGCTCCTCTTTGTCTGCCCTCAAGACGACACACTAACAGTCCACATCAATAAATTATTTCCTCCTGACTAAAACGGTACCGTCTGATTAAGAACGATTTGGGTGGGGCCAAAGAGATCTGTCAATCACTCAGTACCGTCTATTTTCTTTAAACTTGTAAATTATTATCACTCCAATGTCAGTGAGTCACTTCCTGCTCCGAGACCCCTTAAACCCATGAAGTTACCTTGTTTACATTGAATAAGCCTGAAAACGAACCTGCTCCTGAACAGGTTTGCGATTATGGACACGCTGCCATGACAACAAGTCCTGCCAGACTTTCAAAGAACCAGCAGATCTAGGATAATGTAAAATTGACATAAAATGATCTGGCTAACCTGCTGATCCACATATGAAGGAGCGACGCAAACACATAACACAAGCACAACATATGTCCATATGTCGAGTGGTCACAGCCCTGATCTCGGTATGTTTCTTGTCTGACAGAATCTGACAATGACACAAATTATTTTTTAAAAACGAGTGATTATTGAACATGTTGATGCCCAGTTTTCTGTCAGTCCAGGCTAATAGTGGATTAATCAGTCAGTTCAACTGTAGAGCACTGGTTGGTGTCCAGGGAAATAATGAACTGACATGGGGGTCAGTTGGGCCCGGGGCCTCTCAGGAGGTTATTCTGTTCCCCTGCAGTCAAGTGTGTAAAACTGCTGCAAACTGAGATGGAAACACGTTTCACTCTGCACAAAGATGAACTGTATTGACTCACAAACCATGGTGGTCACCTCACTGACATCTTCACCCTCCTCCTCAGTGTGCTGCTCAAAGGCACTGCAGCAAGGCCAGAATCTGGACAGGCCCAGAGAAGGGGGGGGGGGGGGGGGCGAGAGAGCGGGACCACACTAGTCTCTCTGACCAATGGAATGAATGGACTGTAAATAGGAGCCAATGAGGAGCGAGGAGCGGGTATAAAAGCTCGGAGCCGCTTTAATCCGCAGCAGCAGGTCTTGACGGCTTCAGACGACATCACCGCACACTGCACCACAGGTAGGAACAGCTTTAACCCGGACCAATCAGTACTGCTGATCAACTCATCAATACATCAGGGTCTCAGGTTATCGGGGAGGCTCGCGCTCTGCACAGATCAGACAAATCAGATGGAGACTGTGTGAGACTGTGGGCTAAAGGAACAAAGGAGCAGGCTGCAGGCAAACAGGAGGGTGATTGACTCCTTACTGGATGTTTACTAGTGGCCTACTGGTGGTTTACTGGTTGTTTGTGCGCTGTGCAGCTGCAGGGAGCCCGTCTTTGGTCCGTCTGTCTCTCTGTCCGTCTGACCTTGCAGTCCCTCCTGTCTGTAGGTGTTGCGCAGTCACAAACAAAACCCATCTTTAATCTGAGGAACACATTGACTTCAGGTAAACAAAATCCATCTGTGGAAACCATTTGATGGCTTAAATGTGCAGGCTTGAACAAAGGGCCCAGGCAGTAAATCCACCTTCAACCCAGTCAGGCGTAAAAACCCCTTAATCTGCATTAAGCGGACGGATACTGCGGCTGTTTTAATCTGTGCTGCGTCAAAGGAAACGTGTCTAAATGTTATATTTCCACATATATGTTGATGTGTTATTCAGGCGTTTGTGTCTGTGCAGAAAGTCTCATTGTCTTATTTAACAGAATTACATGTGCAAACAAAAAACAAATGACGCACGCTCTGTTTTAAATAGCCTGTGTGAATATATGCAATCAGCTGATTGTGTTCCGTTATTCAGCTGCTGCACTCAGTCCTGCTGATTTAGAACGAGCCTGTTAATAGCCCCCCCCCCCATTAAGGCAGAAAGCCGGTTCATGGCCGGTTCATCTTCGATCGAACACAATCCGGTTCTGTCCCTAGCTGAAGGTGACCGGGACGTCGTGGTTCCGCAGCCGCGCGCCGAAGGGTTAACCCCGCACCGCTGCTGCGTCACTCCGTCGGTCCCGCAAGTCCTAATCAGCCTCTGAGTCCCGGGTCAGACTGATCCCTCAAGGGTTTCCTCGCCCGAGCAGAGCCGGTCTGTAGCTGGTGCCGAGGTTTGATGACTCGGACAATCAATAATGTTGTCAGTCAAACGTCTACTAATGCTGTTATTGATAATCACTTAATATAATTATCATATTTTATATGATGCTTAACGACGTCTGTCTCCTGAGGTGATCCTGGACCAGGTCCCGGATCTGATACAGTTTCACAACCTCAGGTTAACAGTATTGTCATTTCATTTAACAATATATGTGAATAATGTAATAAACGTAGCCCCGTTGATCTCTGAGCTCATTGGAGTCATTCTGTTTCCCTACTAAGCTGAAGGTCGACAAGATGCTGATTATGTAACTACATGTACTCCAGTATAGCTCCTGGGTACTTGTACTTTACCAGAGTATCCTTTTTACTTGTATTTCACTATATGTGAAGGAGGAAAATATAGTAGTTTTTACTACAGTGCAATATCTGACACTGTTTACTACTTAATCTGTAGATTAAAACTAACTGTACAAGTATTTTGCAAATACAACCAAACCACCCTATAGTAAAAGTACCTTCATCTAGACCTGCAACTTTAGAATACACACTAAGGCACCTGGAATATTACAATACCGATGTGAAAGCAGCAAACTGTAAATACAGGACTTCTTCCAGTAAAGTCACTTGTTTTCACTGAAAACTAGATTTAGAGCAGTCTGTTTGTTTACGCTAGTTTTATTAAGTAAACATTATTTGTGCAAGGAGGATTGTTTTTGGACTTGGAAAATGTTATATTTGAATGTAAATTATTAATTAAGTGTCTCACTTGAGCAGATTTAAAGCACGAGGCAGGATGTGCGATAGAATTTTGAGGCTGTTTGAACATAAAATGCTTTTGTTCCTTTAATAGTTACGGTGGAGATCAGTGTTGTTGTAGTACTCGAGTCCAGGACTCAAGTCCAAGTTCAGTCCTGATTTTTTTAGCACTGGTGACTTGGACTGTGTCAGTTGTGTTTAATGTAGAGGTCGATGACTTGGGTAACGGGGACTCGACTCAGACTCTTCTTTTATGTTTGAGTTTATTTTTCTCCTTTGTCTGACGATGAAGAAACGGTTTGTGCAGCCAGAACGGAGGGGGCAGTGAAGAGGAGTGACACCTGAAGTCAGATGTTCATTTATAAGACATATTTAACGGTGTCTGGATTATTTTTCTAATAAAAGACCATCACGTCATGTTATTCTGCCCTGGAGCCTGTCAAAACATTGACACAGTCAGGAATTTGGTCGAGAATCAAATAATCTTTGTGCATTTAAAACCTAGCGTTGACTCCCTCAGTCTGTCAAACTCTGCTTTAAACCAAAGCAACCACGAAAGCCTGAAAGAGCTACTGGTCTCACTCTGTGGTACAGGCCCCAGCTTTGTCTGATGCCAAAACACCTGGTTTATGTTTTATCTGTGAATCTGAAGCTCACCACTAAACATCGATGTATCCTTTCCATGTGTTCACAGGTCAGCAGCCCGACATCGTCATGCCTTTCGGAAACACCCACAACAAGATGAAGCTGAACTACTCAGCCGAGGAGGAGTACCCTGACCTCAGCAAGCACAACAACCACATGGCCAAGGTGCTCACGGCTGAGATGTATGCCAGCCTGAGAGACAAGGAGACGTCCAGTGGATTCACCCTGGATGATGTCATCCAGACTGGTGTCGACAACCCAGGTAAAAACCCCGAGACCAGGTAACCCCTCCTAAAGTGAACACCCCTGAGGAGGCTACGCTGCTCTAAACCAGTTTCTGACTCCCAGTCCTGGTGGCTCCATCACCAAGACTAGGTACCCCCCTCCCCAGACTGGGTACCTCTTCACCAGGCTGAGTATCCCCACACCTCTAGACGGGTTACTACTTCTCATCCAGTGTAATTTGACCCTCAGACCAGGAAACCCCTTTCTCAGATCTGGTAACACTTCTCACTGCAAAGAGGTACCCACTCTCCAACCAAGTAACTATTTCTTCAGACAATCAGATTGGGTATCCTCCCCCCGACACCATCTACCAGACCATGTATCCACTTTCAGACTAAAGAACCCCCCCAGACCAGGTAACCTGTCTCTGAAGACCAGGTATGTCTTATCCCAACCAGGTGATCCCATCACCCAGACCGAGTGCCTCATTCCCCAAAGACACTCATGTTGTCCCCTTCACACAGACATTCCATTCTGGACTTCAGCTGCTGATGGATAATCAACACTTTAATCGGATCGACTCCTTAGATCCGGTTAACTTCCTCTTGTTAATTCTCTTGCAGGACGGGAGGGGGAATGTTTAATTTAGTTGGCAGCGATTTGTGCAAAACATTTTAACATAGTGCAACAAGTTCGAAGACTTTGGCAACCCATCACAGCAGGAACTGACCAGCCAGTTTGTGTCACTGCAGGTCATCCGTTCATCATGACGGTCGGCTGCGTTGCCGGAGATGAAGAGACGTACGAGGTGTTCAAAGACCTGATGGACCCAGTGATCGAAGACCGCCACGGAGGATACAAACCATCAGACCAACATAAGACAGACCTGAACCCTGAGAACCTTCAGGTAAACATCAACAATCTGTAAACTGAATCAGTGCTGACCGGTGGGACGGTGCTCAACTCTGAAGTGTCTCCTCAGTTAGACTTCTACTGTGATTTCCACTGATCTCTTTGTCGTCTTGGTGTTTCAGGGCGGAGATGATCTAGATCCAAACTACGTTCTGAGCTCTCGGGTTAGGACAGGACGAAGCATCCGTGGCTTCTCTCTGCCGCCACACTGCAGCCGCGGAGAACGTCGTGCCATCGAAAACCTCGCCATCGAAAGTACGTCATCACGTTTGTCCTGCCGCCATCCGTACACAGCTGCATTACAGTGTGTCAGCTTTTTGACTTCAACCCACTTTGCATTCCTCCACCCATCGATTAATGGCTGGAGCCAATCCCAGTGAGACTGGGAGCGGGGTACACCTGGACACGTCACTGTTTCTTACCCTTAACTTTCAAAGTTCAGATGTTTCCTGTGGTCAAACAGGTTCAGACCAGAATCTGACTCGCTTTGTTATGATATAGAAATGTACTTTCTGAGAAATCAGCTGGTCACATTAGCAGCTACAACAAACAGTGACAACCGAATCCTACAGTATTTACACCGCGGTTGGGTCATCTAGTCTTTAACCCTTAACCAAAGGTCCACTCAGACTTTTTATTGTAAAATCCAATTAAAATGAAGGAAAAGTTTAAACATTGATGGCATTTTATTTTATAGGTCTGCATTTACCTTATTTCCAAAACGTTTTCTGGAAGAAAGACTAATTTGGTATTTATCACAAGGAAAAGAAAGGGTTCTTTTAATATGCCTACTATTACTCTTTATGCCTCAGTGAACGCAGCATCAAACTGTTATCTAACTGCAAGCTGTGTCTCCTGCTGCCACTTGTACTGAGGGTGAGAGCTCGTCGATCTAAAACCACCTCCCTCATATTCAAATGAAGTGGGGTGAACTGGACCTGCTGGGAGCAGCACACTGCTGCCCACTACTGTCTGCCCCCAACACTAGACAACTTTGATTTTTAATGGAAAGCATAAAAGTACATATAAATAAGATGAACAATGAAGATTGGATTAAAAAAAAAAAACAAACTCTGCCCAAAGATCTCCTGTTGTGACAGTCTTCAGTTCAGGCTGCTCAGTTGTCAGGAAAATAGAACTAAGGCACAATTTACAGAAGCAGAAAATGAGCAATTTGAGGAAAACGAACACTTGTAACTTCCTGGGAATAAACTCTAGTTTAGTTTAATACAGACTACAGAGACACAGTTATTAGCTTCTTTAAATAGGAGTAAAAGTTCATTTACACACTTTAGCTGATCTGCTGTGAGTGACGAAAAGATGAAGTTACATAGATAAAGAAATGGAGAACATTAATTAAAGTGACTATTAAATGATAAACTCAATTTTCCCTGTAACTATCACATTACAGAGGTTCTCTCAGGAGCCTTATGATTTTACAGTTGCATATCAAATTCATGGAGGAAGTAAGATGGAAACTTCAAGATGCAGTAAAAACCCTGCCTTTTCTTTGAGAATACTTGTGTGCATTTAAAGGGATCATCTTCAGCAGGTGCATTAAAATCCAAATTTTAAAATCAAACTTTCTTTCCACCTTAAAACCCTTAGTTGAAACCGTAAATTAAAGATCTTATCACTGTCACAATCTGAGTTTAGCCCCGACTTCAGACTCTCAGGCATCAAACATACCCTGCCTTCCTCTTACCGAACAGTCCTGAAGTTGGGCTAATGGCCTCCTATGTGTTGACCTTTGATCTCTGGTGCTGCAGGTCTGGACGCCTTGGATGGGGACTTGAAGGGGAGGTACTATGCTCTGAAGAACATGACAGAGGAGGAGCAGCAGCAGCTGATCGATGACCACTTCCTGTTTGACAAGCCTGTCTCCCCACTGCTGCTGGCATCCGGCATGGCCCGTGACTGGCCTGATGGCCGCGGCATCTGGTCAGTGAACACACCACTACCTCTGAGCTCGGAAATTGGCATTCAAACATGTTTTTATGAAATCGGCTGTTTCTCAGCTCCGATGACAAAACCCACACTGAAATCGATTGTCAGACAAAGAGGGAAAACATTTAAAAGACAAATGAAAATGTGTAACCATCATATTTAAGAAGTATAGAAACCAATTTTAAGAAAAAAGGGAAAACTGATGAAATGTAAGGCACAAAAAAGTCTAAAGAAAAATGCTAATGAAAAGACGGCACTGAGAACGGTATATGAACTTGGACTAAACAGTGAGTCAACATCAAAATAAGGAAGGACAACCTGACGAGATACAGACAGAATTATGACAGAGTTGGAAGAAATGACAACAAAGGTGAAATGACGAAGTATGGATGCGGAGTAAGGAGAGGCTGAGTCAGAATCAAGAGATGAACAGTGAAATACTGAGCTGGAATAAATCCTGAGTCACAGTGGGGATAATTTACTGTGATACAGTCTGTATCTCACTGCTTATTCCCTGTTGGAGTGTTTGCTCCAGACCCAATGAACCTGCTCTAGCACATCTGGAGGGTTGAACAGTTGCTAACTGACTTCCTGTTGTGGTTAGTGTCCCATGATTACCCTGTCACTCTGTGCTTGACCTGCAGGCACAATGACAACAAGACCTTCCTGGTGTGGGTGAATGAGGAGGATCACCTGCGTGTCATCAGCATGCAGAAAGGAGGCAACATGAGGGAGGTGTTCACCCGCTTCTGCACTGGACTCACCAAGGTGAACACCCATACTCTCACTTCCTGTTCAGAGTCCTGCAGAACATCAGACCTGTACACCTGTCCAAACCATCTCACCTGTCTGCCACTGTCACTCTCGCTCTCTGGCAGATCGAGGCCTTGTTCAAAGAGCGAGACCATGAGTTCATGTGGAATGAACACCTGGGCTACATCCTCACCTGTCCATCTAACCTGGGGACGGGTCTGAGAGCCGGAGTCCACGTCAAACTGCCACATCTCAGCAAGCATGAGAAGTTTGGAGAGATCCTGAAGAGGCTGAGGCTGCAGAAGAGAGGCACAGGTAGACACAGAGTCCTAGAGGAAAACAGTGCAAATAAACAGCTGTCAAATGTAAGACGCACATCATTTATAAATCACCATGCTTATTTTTCAAGGTGTCTGTTTTTGAGATTTATTTTGCATTAAATGTCAAAAGTCAGCACCTTTACAAAAACAGCATTAGATCCCAAGACATGGGAGTAGGTCAGGTGAGGGTGACAGGTGGGGCCAGGGTTAAGGGTTTGGATCAAGTCAAGCATCATAAGGCATGACTGGTTAGGGTCCTGTCAGGTCTCTTTTGGTCTTCAGACTTCAGCTGAGGACCAGTTTGGCCAGCCCAGTAGTCCCACGTTAGGACAGAGGTTAGGAGGTTCCCTCTGTGGTGCTGGATCATAAGTGGACAGCAACACCTGTCTAACAGCCCGGAGCCTTCCTGTGACGCTTTTCACACCACTTCCTGTCCGTCCCTCCCAGGTGGTGTAGACACAGCAGCAGTGGGCGGAGTCTTTGACATCTCCAACGCGGACCGCCTGGGTTTCTCAGAGGTGGACCTAGTCCAGATGGTAGTGGATGGGGTCAACCTGCTGGTGGACATGGAGAAGCGCCTGGAGGTTGGCGACAGCATTGACGACCTGATGCCCGAGCAGAAGTGAACTGTCACTAAACCACCCCCCCACCCCCACCCTCCACTGTAAGCAGTAAGAAATTGTCCTGCAGCTGCAAGATACTTAGAGCCATTCAGTTAGACCTCAGTCGTCCAACATGTGAAGGGGTTTCTATTTCCTGTCTCCACGTGTTGGACTCATCTAACACCTCAAATATCCAATAAAGTCTCTGTGGTCCCAGGCTCACCTGTCATCATTCAGTGCACACACTTCACATGAAGACCACAGTCAGACACAGCAGCGACTGGGGACATGCACAGCGAACAGAGGTCTCAGGGTTTCTGGTGTCAGAAAGCCGGCTCACCTTTAACCAGGCAGATCACCGTAGTAACATGGTAATAGATGCTGTAGGGCACATTAGCAGTCTCATGACCAATCAGATCACTGCAACAGAGTCTTGGCTTCTACAGGAGCCTGACAGGGGCAAAAAGTTCTCAGTACAGTGACAAATTATAGATATAGCAACGGATATTTGCTCTTCAGACTTTCCAGCTGTCTCTGGTTTAAAACACACAGAGGGAGGCTTTAATTGAATTGGGCATCTCTGGTTCCTGACGGGATTCCATCACCGCAGCTCAACACAAGGAGACTCTGTGATGGGGTGTCGATTAGAAAAATAATCCACGTACCTGTGAATGTTTCTTATGATTATAAACGAACACACAGAGCTCCTTACCCCCCTCCCCTACACTGACATTACAACAACTGCTCCCTCTGTACTAAAGACACCTCCACAGCCTCTCCTGTTTTAGCCATGTGATCATGTTCTTTGTTTCACCTTGTTGAATCACCGTCCTGTTGCTGTAACTAAATTTACCTACAAGCATCACTGTGTCATCTCAAATAAATCACTTCATTCATGGCCCTGATGAACACAACCACAGATATATTAATAAAGCCACAGTTAACAGAACCAGTCAATCAGTGTCTTGATACTGACTAGTACCCAGTATCACCAGTGCCAGAACCAGTGAAGCAAGTAAACCCAAGAGAGACGGACTAATCTGGACTCACTTCAAGACACAGAGATAATCCATCCTGAAACTAAAAGACACTGGGAAAACAAAACGCTTCAAGGTACTGTGTCTTGCAGGTGCAACATGAACTTTAGGGACAGAGACCTGGGACCACACCTGGTGGTGATGTAGAGTCGGTGCTCAGTACTGAAACATGCTGTGAAGTGTGAGGCTGCAGTGAACGCAACACATGCAGCAGCCACACGGAGGCGTTCATGTACCGTACTGAGTAACTTCAGTCATTTTATTCTAGTTCTCCTTTTAAAATGGTGAGAGCTGTGCCAGTTGTGTTTAATGTAGAGGCTGTTCACTTGACTCGGACCCGAGGTTTAGTGACTGTACCACAACACTGGTTGTGATAGTACAGGTTACATCTGTACAAACTACCTCCAGGCAGCCCTGAGCTGCTGTTGGACAAACGATTCATTCCTGGCAGAACAGATGAACTATAAACACTAACATAATATGAAGGTTGTGGAGGACACATTTAATAAAGACACTATTTCCACAGCTTTTAATGGATAAACATTTGTTTATATATTCACCTGTTCACCAAACCTGAACTGCAAAGCGAATCATCTGGCTCCACTAAGCCTCATGCTGGCCATCCCGGTCCCATGGAGCCGGTTATCAGCTGGCTCTGTTCGGTCTGGTTTCCCTGTCGGTTGATGAAAGTGTTCATGTGAAAGAGGCGTCTGTGGTCACATAACCAGACGCCATAGAAACTCCACTGAAAACCACAGGTAAACATGGTTCAACTGCCTCATGTAATCTTTCTTTCCAGGAAAGTGAGGTGAACACTGAGGTCACCTACCTACCACATTTATTGGTTTTCCTAGTAAAATCAAACATAACAAGCAGGGTTTTAATAAGTGCAGCAGCAAACACCTTTTCCATTAGCACCAAACTGCATCAGCCTTTCCTGGAATCATCCTGACAATTAACAGCTTAATAATAGCTCATGTTCTGGAAATCTGGAAGAAAGATTCAAGGATCAGCTGGAAAATACAGGACCCATAAAATAAAGGGCATTTCACTGTAACAGGAAATCTTATTGTGAAGGGGTCACAGCTCCTGTAGACCGGGTGACAACTTGGATGTTTAAAGACCAAAAACCTGCTCTGGGAATTATCTGTCAATCAACACTACACAGGCAGCATTTTATTGTGAAAATAATATTCTTCCTGAATGCAGATGTTTTGGTTCAACACAAACACTTTACAAAGATCAAAGTTTTTATTTCATTTTTAGTGAGACATTGTGTTCATGATTAAATCATCACATCCAACCAAAATCAAATGACTTTATTCATCAATAAAATATGTCCGAAGTTCATTTGAGTCACACCGTCACCGTCTTTAGAAACACATCGGCGCCAGGTCAGAGCAGCTGTCAAGAGGCCTCCGTTTAGATCCGGACACTTCAGACAGAAAACAAATCCAAAGAGACCAACTGGGATCAGGATTTACTGATCAGGTCTTGAATGAGACCAGAATCCAACAACGCGAGCAGCATCAGGATCATATTCAGAATACTCGCTGCTGGGACTTGTGAAAAATAAAAATATCAAACACTTTGCCTGAATCTCAGAAAACTGACCTGAACCTCTCTAACTCACCATGACCCCTCTGGCCTTCTGTAGATTTACCGTCGTTTAAAAAAAGGCTCCGTCCAGACAGGAAGCTGTGCTGCGTTCAGGGCGTGTAATGAGACCGAGGTGAACCTGAAGTTCAGTTAACAAACACAGTCAGAAGACGATCAGCTGATTGTTAGCTGACTGCGCACATGTACAAAAGAGGAAACAAATCAACATGAAAACCAGCCGAGTCTCTCAGACAAACTATTTACACTCACAAACACTGACTCGCACCAACCTGTCTGGCTGCACCTGACTCTGCCCACTTCATCTGGCTCCAACCTCACCTGTTCTCTCGTGGGCGGGGCCAAAACACCTGTAGGTCACTCACTCACTCTTTCAAAATAAAATGTAAATGTACAGAACAGGTCACTCACTGTAAAGCCTATTTCAAAATAAAATGTAAATGTACAGAAGAAAAGTCCCTGTGTCTCCATTTAGTAGAACTGGACTCCAAGTCCCATGATCCTTTGCAGCAGTCAGCCAAGTTTATTCAATTAGAAGTGAGATGTGAAGGCTGCTGTTCTGGGAGCAGGTGAGAAAAATCCTGTAGACAGACAGACAGCAGAGCTTCAGTGAGAGAGAGATAGAGAGAGATCACCAGTGTCCAGGCTGCATCGTCAATAACCAATAATCAATCTATAGAGACGACAGCTGATGTGGACATGTGTAGCTGTTGTGGGTCACGGCGGAGCAAAGTTCAGCACCATCAGGACAAACCGATGCTGCTCAGAGTGAAGTATTGTGTTTGTGCATGTAAACATCATACCCTGATTTCAGAAACCAGGATAAGCTCTCAGTTCTGAGAAACCTGAATATGTTAGAAACCTGAAGACTGTTGCTTAACAGTTATTAACGTCAACGCCGTATGACGAATATGATCAAAGCCTGGATACTCTTAATAACCAGGATGCTCATACACATGTATATGCACTCAGTGTTTCACAACAAACTCATTTACTGTCTTCTAATCATCCATCAGGTTTTCCGCTACACACATCCACCTACAGAGGCTGAAACCTGATCATAAATCACCTGTCTGTGTCTACATGTCTGTCTCTTCAGCCTACCTGTCTCTCTCTCTCTGCACCTCTACAGTTTGAGTTCGTTGGCGATCTTGGAGGCGATGTCCTTGAAGGCGATGGATGTTCCTGAAATGCGTTTGAATCGGACCCCATTGAGCGAGAGGCGGGGCAGTTTGCACACCTCCATCTCCCATTGGACGAGGCTGTCAGCGTGTCCATCTCCGTGGACGCAGAGCAGCAGGAAGCACTCACGTTGCTCATAGTCACAGTTGTTGGCATCCAGGACTTTCCTGATTTCCCTCATCATGTCCAGAGGCTCCATGGATGACGTAGTCTTCATACTCCAGGTGAACCTCAGGGAGCGAGGCTTTGACTCCTTCAAGTGAAGAGCAGCAGGGGAACCAGCCTCCTCCTTCTGATCAGATGGCACAGTATGACTGGAGAGGATGAGGAGAGGAGTAGTGGACATGGGGATGGTTCAAATTTACAGAGGACATCTTGTTAACACAGTGGGTTTTGACAAAGTAAATTTACAGTGTGGTGTTCCTTAGGGCCCCAGACTGGGGCCACAGTTATTTCTGATCTAAATAAATAATCGATCTAACCTGTCCTCAAGTTCACACAGAAAACATTGGTTCAAACTTCAACTTTTGTTAAACCTGGAATAACTGATGTCCAGTGGTTTTCAGCAGAAACAAACTGCAAACATAACACAGACATTTCATCAGTGTCGAAGTTAATATGCTGAACTCAAACTGTTTCTTATTTCCAACTCCAACAGGTCCAGATCAACATGTGTCCGTGTTCCCCTGATGGACCTCAGTCAGTGCACCCTGTCTCTGTCAGCTCTGGGTTCGGTCTCCACCACGTTCTGAGGGAAACCTCTGGCTCTGTAGCTGCTAAATGCTCACCAATGTTCCCCAGCTGGTCTCTGACTGTGCCTGTCTGCTGTTTGCTGCTGAGCAGGTTGTGGACAGCGGCTTTGAAGAGTGTGTCCTCTGAAAACATCTGCAGCCCAGAACCACACCACGAGAGCGGTGAGTGAACCAAAGCAGCAGCGCTGTGGTCCGGAAACTAACAATGAGCTGACACTCACTGTAAAGCTCCATGAAGCCGAGGGGAGCTGCAGTGTAGCTGGTCAGTCACTACCTGAGGGACCATTATCCTTAAATGCTGGTTTCACATCGTTGCTTCATACATTATTAAAAGACATATTGTAGAATATTTAAAGAAGCTAACTCTGGTTTATACAGCACAGTTTAAACACACTGTTTAATGTCTTATTGACAGAGTCACTCTTCATAATCTGGTTTTGTTTCAGAGTTTAACTTTGAAACCTGTCTCCTCATTGACTCACCTGAATTCCTCAGGTCTCCCGTTCTTCTCGACCTCTGACACACCTCTGACAGCAAGAAAGCAAGGAAACAAAGCAGTAAGAAGAGATTTAGTGCGAGTACTAACAGGCCGAGGGAAAACACGAGACAAACAGCTGCAGAAACCAACAGGAAGATGATGTTCTGGTTCATTAACTAAAAATGATGGTTTTGGCCAAGTCCAGATTCACCTGTCTCACTGCTCTCAGTCTGAGACGCCTGTAAATACAAATCTAGGACATTTGGACACAGTTCATCACTGATAAATAATGACCCATGGTGTCCTGTGCTGGCGTACCTGCGTGAGAGTCTGGAGGTGATTTTAGAGAACAGGTTGGTGGATCCTTTGGCTCGTGACTGGACGAGAGGCGAGGCATCATGTGACAGGGTGGGGGAAGCGGGGGGGCCATTGTAGGTGGCAGTGCGTCTCTCTCTGAGCTGACCTCCATGGAAGGTGCTGCGACTCGCCGTCCCCCGAGGGAAACGTAGCTGGTCCGGAGGCGTCGCTCCACTGCTCACACTGTGGGTGGAGGCTCCGCCCCCCGACCTCTGAGTGGGGGTGTTTGCTGAGCTGGAGAGTGGGTGGTGTTGCATATGAAAGAAATAGATCCATGAAAATCTTCTTATTATAAGGTCCAAAAAGATTTGTCCGCTGTCTGCTGAAGATCTGCCGTCCCTGTTCTGACTTCTGTGGTTTTGCTGCCTACCTGTTCTCTTTCCCGTTGTGGACCACAGAGTGTTGATCTGTGGGGCTCCTCTCTGTGCAGACATAGGTGTTCCTCCTCGTCATGCTGGACGACCCTCCCTGACACGGTTTAACACACGACTCAGTTCAGACCAGAATCTGACATCTTAATATCGGTGTTCTCATGACAAAAATGTTGTGTACAGTAACTACAGCACAGAACTAAGAACAAAGTGCAGCTCGTCCGCTGCCAGAGAGAAACGACCAGACAATTAATGCAACAGAGCTGCATCAAGCTCAGGCTAGCTGCTAAGAAAACCCTGAGCTAAAGCTAAATTAATTATGTATCTCTGCCCTTGCTGTAAATGAGAAATAATCACTTTGATGACCAAGACCTGGCTAACTGAGCTACTTGTTTTAGATCACTAAACAGGGGAAACAGATGGTTAAGCTATTTGTAAATGACTATGAATATGTAACGTAAGGCTACAACTTACTGTGATTTTCTTCATAAATTAATCTCCTGATTATTTTAGCAGGTAATGCATTAATCATTGCCTCTAAAATGTCTCTTAGAGCTCAGTGTGGCATTGTTTTGTCCGTCCAACACTTCAAAGCCCCCAAACATGAGGTACTGTATCTTCACAGGCTGTAAACAGCAGCTATTGCTGCCGTTTGTTTCTACCCACAGATCCATCCACTTATCTTTGTGGCTTTGTTAAACCCATGTTCCTCTAAACTCGGGGCCGTGACTGATTAACAACTTGAAAAACCGCCTGAAGCTTCCTGTCTGAGTTTCAAGATGAACATCCTTCTGTCACACCCGTGTCCACCTGTCCAACACTTATAAACTCAGTTTATACACAGCTATTATTATTTATGTTAATAATACCTGGTCTGTTTTCTACACTGTCTTGTTTCTTTCCCTTTGCTGCTGTAGCTTTGTGAATTTCCCCACTGTGGGGCTAATAAAGGTTCACCTCATCTTATCAAGATCAAAGTTTTTTGTCAATTCACTATATGTGCAGGACATACAGAAAAATCGAAATGCCGTTTCTCTCTCACCTAGTATTGAATGAATATTGAATATTAGCTCATCTTACAGTGGTTGTGGCCGACATCTTCCTCTGCTCAGGGATGTCGGCCATGTCGGGGTTGTTGGCATTCCCCAGCTGAGGACTGCCCCCTTCCACAGGACTGCACTTTTTGCTGTGGCCTCTGGCCTCTTGCTGTACCTCCCCCTCTGGTGGCGCTGCCGTCTGACTCCTCCTAGGCTGAGGAGCAGCCGAGGACACCGTGCACACTGAGCCGGAGGACAAAGGGAGTTACATAATATAAAGCTTGACCTGCAGATGTGACCTCTATTATCCCTGGTCCTGGTGTGTACCTTGGTCACTGTACCTCCTGTGTTTGGAGGCGGAGGAGGTGGAGCGCTGGGCGAGGAGGTGAGCAGGAGACTGGCTACTGCTGCACAGGCGAGGCTTGAGCAGCGAGGATGACGGCTTGGTCACCTCCACCTATGCACCAAACACACATCAGTTACACCTGCTGGTTAGTCCAGGTGGTTTCTGAACCATTACCATGGTAACCACTGACCTCAGTCGGCTTGTGTCCCAGCAGCAGGTAGGTGGCTGTGATGTCGTCGTACTTCATCTTGATGAGCGACTCATTAATCTCCTCCCTGGAGTAGCCCATTCCCACCATCAGGTCTGGAACACAACACAAACGATCACACCAACACAACAGCTGCACACTGACGATGCTCGACACCACCTGCGCCTACATAGCGGCTTCCACCTGCGCCTCAGGCTACTAACAGCTGAGTGGAGGAGATCCTCCACTAGACTCGTTTTCCACATTACAAAGGTAAAACAACTCTGATGACCTGTTGTGCAACATCACACTACAAGTTGGAAGCTGTGGTGGTGACGCTGAATTCATGGGACCGTGGTTAGTTGGTTTATAGCCTGACAACAGCTTTTAACGTCTGGTGGCTGTATTTAGGCTTAAAACAGCATGATGAAGATTATCTACAAAAAGTACAAGTGTCACAAAGTGTTGTTTGCCACAAAGCTTACTTTCTGGAATAATTCAACGCCCATGGCTTTTTGGTGAGGGAACCAGGGTGAACGTCAGCCTACACAGACACATCATCCCTTCAGCACTCCATTATATTTAGAAAACACAGAAACATTATCAACAGTTTCCAATGAATGCTTTGGCTTGAACCAGATCTAAACGTGGAACTTTCTACACACAGCCTGACATCAGGAGGTTGGTTTGTGAAGCTCACAGTCATCTTTGCCCTGCAGCATATACTCATGTTACAGTATGTGCTGTCAGTGTGTCCCATCGTTACACCAGTGTGTAATGTCTGTGTGACATTAGCGTCTAGAACCCAAAGTAATTCTTCTGTCTGCACACCTGTACTGGAACTCAGATATAAAAATGATTATGAGCAAGTACCGATCCTCTTCTGCTCCCTGATGTCCAGCTCCGGCTGGATGAAGGGCTTCAGCTCCTCTTCAAAGCTGGTGTTGATCCAGCGATCCTTCATGATTTGCTGAAGAGGAAACATTCAGACAACAACAAACTGGTCACACCCCTGATCAGGTCACTGTATGTTTTTGGTGATGCTACCAGGTTTCACAACTGTGACCAATGAAAGGTGTAAATTTATCCTGATGTATAGATAATGAATTGCTGCTGTATCGATGCTGTGTCACTGATATAATGATGAAGTACTGATGGTGCGCTCTGACCTCCAGAGTTCCTCGTTTCCCCGGGTTCAGCACCAGGACACGCTTCAGCAGGTTCTCACAGTCAGTTGACATGTAGAAGGGGATGCGATATTTACCACGCAGTACTCGCTCTCTCAGTTCCTACACACAGAAACACGAAAACTGTGTGACACTAGTTTCTAATCCCATCTCTGTACTGGACACAGAGATGAAACCCCTGACTCATGTAACTCTCATGAACAGGGATTTACTAAAATGCCAGACTGTTCCTTTAAATCTCTGTTTTAAGCAGACAGCACTCAGAGAGTGCTGATCTCCACCAAGGGGCAACTCAGTGTCCCAGTAATTCCATAAAAGCAATATTCCCGTTATAGTTTGACCCCTCCCTCCTCTAAACAGAGACCAACACAGTGGAAAATACAGTGCAAAAGCAAAGTAGGACGACACGTGTCAACATGTGAGATTATGTCGAGTGACGGTTAAGGGAGACATGGGGTGTACCGTTTATTAGACTCCAACCGTGGAAACACAGCTATGATGTGCAGCCAGCGGCGTCCTCACTGACAGAATGCTGGGCTCTGAACCAGACTGAGCTGCTGCTAACAGAGCTAGCTTGGTCAGATAACGAGCACCCACATATCAAAAACGTTGGAGACAATTCTAAATTGGCATTACCTGGATAGACTGACCACACTGACACTCCAAGTGGTTACTGCGTCGCCAGAGAAATGTGTCACAACCTAATAAAGTGCCATAATACTGCTCCCACAGATGAAAATGTTGACAGCTTTGAGCCTAGCTCCAAATCTCTGCCATCAAGTTCTCACAAACTGTCGCTGCAGAGACCAGATCTTTCCCCAGCTGTGGGCTGTAGCCTCACTTGGCTCCTTCAGTCTCTGTGTCACACAGTGGGGTGGACTGAGCGGCAGGAATCTGTTTCCACTGGCAACCAATGGGCAGTAGGGGTGTGATGAGAACTTGTCCCATGAGATCTCGCAATAATAAAATGTGAATATTTCTCGCTGAGGTAAAAGCCGTCATGCGATATCAGCAGTCCTGCAAAAATGCAACTCCCTGCTGTGTTTTAATGCACAGGGGCTGCGTTGGCCAGGGGAGTGAGGGGTTGCAGGGGGAGTGTTGTAAGCATGTACAATATGGCCACGCTGTGACAAATCGACATGAGTGGCTTCATTCACGTTTCCAGCCCGGGAGTTTCCGCTGTGTTTTGGTTAGCCATGCTGCTAGCGTAGCCTACTCTGCCTTAGCACCAGTTCTACCACTGGTGTGTTGGCATTGATAGATAAAAAATAGTTTAATGTACTAACTAAAATGTACAGCGTGTCGTTATGGTGCATTAACTGTGGCCCAAATTCAACAGTGAATAGCGGTGAATGCTCAGCTAACAAGGTAAGCAGAGGGAGCCTTCTTTCCGTGGATGTCCACGTCCCGTTCGTCCCCTGTACACGATTGGTCAACGCAGCGCCTTTACCGGATGATGTCACCGTCCGGTGCAGCGCAGGTGGGAACAGCACAGAAGGTCACCCACAGCTTCAGTTAGAAGTAGGAGAGAAGAGCACAGTTCATGCACAGTCCTAGGGTCTGAAGAGACTCGTGAAATCCTACAGGAGAGAAGCCGGTTGGCTGAGTCTGTGGTCTAACCTTTTACAGTGGCTGCACATTGTTTTACTGCATATGATCATTCACACTCAGGACGTAGAACTGAAGGGATGTTCGTTACCAGATGATTAGTTAAAACATTTCAAAATGCACCGGCACTGAAGATAGAAGACCATTTTCCAGTCGTATATTTCATCACTGAAGATTTCTTAAAAACAGTGTTAAAATATCATCTCGTTCTCGTGAACCCAATATTGTGTATCGTCTCGTCCTTTAACCTTCCTGTATGTGTCACTGACCTTGAGGTTCTGTCCATCAAACGGCAAAGATCCACTGACGAGAGTGTAGAGGATCACACCCAGACTCCAGACATCCACCTCTGGACCATCATACTTCTTACCCTAAAACACACACACACACACACAATAAACATGCAGTTATACACTAAATATTTTTCTTTTGACTCAGAAGAATTAAATTAGAGTGTTATGTTTCCAGATTCATTATTATCTACTACCATCCAACATTATACACCCCCTCCCAGCTAACTGCTAACAATACTAGACGCCTATCTTGCCAAATTACCTAACTATCTTAGTACACAATAACTAATAACAGCGCATATGCCAGTTCATCAGTAACAGTAAATATCGGCACAGAAACAAACCAGATTTGGAGACATTTAAAAACATTGTCTCCATTATGAAAAGCAAAGACCAACTGATTTTTACACTGTAAATCTGAGTCACTACAAGAAAACAAATGCAAGGAGTTTGTATAAACATGATTTACTTGTGTTAAATAATTACCTTACTGGATTTGTAAAAAATCTCAGTGATATCAGTTAAGCCTAGCTACCTATGTGGTCAGCTAGCTGCACTTTCAATTCATCAACAAATGGAGAAATGAATGAATGAATGTCTACAGACCTGGAAGAGTTCAGGAGCAGCGTATGGAGGAGAACCACAGAAAGTGTCCAGTTTCCCACCAACAGTGAACTCATTACTGAACCCAAAATCTGCTATTTTAATATTCATGTCAGCATCCAGAAGGAGGTTTTCTGCCTGGGGGGTGGGGGTGGGGGGGGAATCCAGCAGAAGCTTTTGATATATGTTCATGGTGCATTTAAAATCAGATGAAAGCCTGAGTTTAGGTTTTATTTTGTGTTTTACCTTCAGATCTCGGTGAACGATGTGCTTCTGATGGCAGTACTGAACTGCAGATACAATCTGTAAACACACACACAGTCAGGCAGGTGTGCAGACAGGTACACGGTAATGGGGTGGATGAAACCTGGCCGGGTGGCCCAGAAAACAATGTGGGTGCCCAGGCCCATTACTGGCTAAGCACGTGGTACCCAGACAGGTGCACAGCCAGACCGGCTCTGACTGTGACTGTTTTGCTGCCTGAATTAAAGACACGCAGACAGGTACACAGCAATGGGGTGGATGAAACCTGGCCAGGTGGCCCAGAAAACAATGTGGGTGCCCAGGCCCATTACTGGCTAAGCACGTGGTACCCAGACAGGTGCACAGCCAGACCGGCTCTGACTGTGACTGTTTTGCTGCCTGAATTAAAGACACTGTGGTAAAATAACCTGATACAGACAACGTCAGACGTTTCAGTGGGAAACAATACCTCAGGAAACAGACAGTCCATCTGTTTCACTGTTGTATTATGGGACACATGTATCTCCAGGATGTTACCACGGTAACAACAGTGTGTGTGTGTTACCTGTCTAAATTTACTTCTGGCCTCCTTCTCCTTCATCCTCCCATGAGCTACGAGATAGTCAAACACTTCACCTGCACACACAGAAATCAAGGAAACCTCTCGTAGAAACACAGAGTGACACTGAACCTCACATAGGTCAAAGGGCATGTAACTAAAACAACCGGCTTTAAAACCTGGCCTAACCTCAGACTGTCCTGGTGTGACTGACCTCCACTGGCGTACTCCATCACCAGGTACAGAGTCTTCTCCGTCTCTATCACCTCAAACAGCTTCACTGCAGACAGAGACAGGCAGATCAAAGACATAAAACACCGTCACAGAGAGGGAGACAGGGTGTAGAGACAGACGGGGTTAGAGACAGACAGGTGTAGAAAGAGACAGAAAGGAGGACAGGGAGACAGGGTGTAGAGACAGACAGGCAGGTAAAGAAAGAGACAGACAGGAGGAGAGGGAGATGGGGTGTAGAGAGAGACAGGAGGAGAGGGAGATGGGTGTAGAGACAGACGGGGTTAGAGACAGACAGGTGTAGAAAGAGACAGAAAGGAGGACAGGGAGACAGGGTGTAGAGACAGACAGGCAGGTAAAGAAAGAGACAGACAGGAGGAGAGGGAGACGGGGTGAAGAGACAAACAGGAGGAGAGGGAGACAGGGACTAAGATGTCTGGGTGGTGTGTCTGAGTTTCCTTTTCCTCACCGATGTTTGGGTGATTTAAGATCTTCATTATTCTGACTTCTCTGAAGAGCTGAGACACACAAACACAGGGTCAGATCAGGATCAGTCTGAGTTCTGTCTTCAGTCAGAGATCAGCGAACAGCGAACAGCCAGATTATGGATCATTATTTCCATAGTGCATTTTGTGGCCAATGTTTATACGCTCACACGTTTTATTGATTGGGATCAAAGTTATAAACGGGACACACTTTGCTCTGCATGGAGGGATGGTGTTCTCGAAGCTGTTCCCTTTTGGAATGTCCAAATTAATCCTGTGCTGCTGATTTGAATTTGTTTTTGGTGGATGGAGATCAGTGATATTGGCCTCGCTTCTCTCTGCTGCATACGTATGAGTGGCGTCTGTTGCCGAGTCTGACAAACAGTAGGGGAATGTCACACCATGGTACACAGTGAAACCAAGATACCGCTGAAACGAGCTCAGAAGAGCTCCACCAACTCCAACAGTCCAATCCTGCTTTTACATCTATGCATGAATGATAATATGTAATGATGTAATACATAACAGTATTATATATAGCATAACATTTTTTGGTAGTGAGTAACCTACTTCTACTTTAAATACTTTAAGGACATTTTTGTAAACATACTAAACTTTATTTAACGTTTTCAATGTGCTTTTACTTAAGTCAAGGATGTGAATCCTTTCGCTGCTGCAGGTGCTAACATGCAAACTAGCGTGCTTTAGGTATGTGACCTGTTACAGATGCTATTTTTTTTCCATCATGTTTATAACTCTGTTTATCCTTTAGGGTCGGTCCAGCGCTGCAGTCCAGCTCAATCAACCGTAACAGTCACCTGCAATAAAAACGACCCTTTTGTTTTCATTCTTTTGAGGGTTGTTGTAGCTGACAATAATAGTAACTGTGTAATACCAGGAAACCCAGATATTTTGTCAGACACTTATCATACCATGAAAATCTCATACCGTTGTAACCCTAGTTTACAGCACATCAAAGATGGCAGACGAGGCTATCGACTCACCCATAATGATGACTGCTTGTGCATTGATAACACTACACATCTTTGGACATTTCCTGGTTGCACACCATACGCGTGACAGAAACATCACTAACATGCCCACTACCTCGGTGTGAATTCTGCAGACAGTAACCTGCTCTGGTCACACATGGGCCCGATCGAACATTACACGGACTTTGCACCGGGGAGCAGGCAGGCAGTTGCATTCTCATGCACAGTTCCTCCGGGTAACGTCTACATAAGGTCAGGGCTGCAGTGCATGTCTGAAAATGGCTTCTGTTTCTAAACGTTCCCATCTCTGATATTTGACATTCAGTGTCACTGATCAGACCTCACAGACCCTGGTACTGAAACACTGGCAGTATACAGGCCTTAACTGTCCCACACTCTACACGACATACCGTTTATGGGTCACAGTCTTTAGGAGCTTGACGTTGATTTGTGTGTGTGTGTGGGGGGTGAAGGGGGGGGGGGAATCAAACATTACAAAATATCAATATGAGCTTGAACAGCACAGCATCAGACCTGGATTATCACTGAAGCAGCACTTTGTATGCCAGAGGCCACAATGTTCTGATCAGCCCATGCAAAACAAAGCTGATCAATAACCTGGACAGCTGATTACAGACACACACAAGTCAGGGCTCTGTGATTGATCCATGTCTCCTGACTGATCAGGCAGAGGCTCAGCCTGACTGGATGTGACCTGCTGCAAACTGGAGAGGCACTGATGACAAACACGGACTGAAACAGGGTCATTCCTAGTCTAGTCTGTGACGTGTCCGTTTTTATTTTATTTTTTTGCCTACTCTGCTCAGACGTAAGGAAACAAGATGGACACCAGCTTCTGTTGTGGTTCAGTCACATGAGAGCCAGACTGAAGAACATTTAGTAGTAATGTGAGATTTCTGTCCCAGTTTAACTGCTGCAGGTCACCAGGACCTCAGAACTGAACCAGTTCCATTTTGAAGAACAGACTGTCTCTCACCTTCTGCAGGCTGGTGGGGTTCAGCTGGGTCTTATCAATGATTTTGATCGCCACCTGTCAGGGAGAAACAGTTGACTGGTACCATGCTGTAGGTGCAACAGAAATACTTCCCAGCAGCCTCTCTGTGTGTCTGCTCACCTCTCGCCCAGTCAGGACATGTCGAGCCAGCTTGACTTTAGCAAAGTTTCCTTTTCCAATGGTTTTCAGCAGTCGGTAGTTCCCCACGTGTGGCGCCTCGTCTCTGCTGGAGGACGAGGTTTTACAGCGGGCAGAGCGGGACGCTGCCTCACTATGCCCATCATCCACTGAGGTATGCTGAGAAATATAAATACACATCGCACAGGGCAACAGGTCAGTCGTGGGTAACGCACGCAGGCTGCAAACAATGACAACTATTAAATCTATACTTAACAGATTCCTGACAGCCATCGTTTTAATTTTGAAAAGATTTATCAGAAAACAGTCCTAAATGTACGTCACAATGTTCCCAAACCAACAGCCCCAAAATTTACCGTGATAAAAACAAGCGTCACTTTAGAGAAACTGGAAGCAAATGTTTTTGCTGAAAGTAACAATAATTGCAATTACAACAAAATAATTATGATTATACACGTGTAGGTCTGGGTATAGTATAAAGATTTTCCCAAACACAAAATTCTCAAACAAATCTTTTATAAAGTAAAAGCTTCCAATAAACAAATATGAATTAAATAAACAATGACCTGAAAAATAAAGAAGATGAGGACTGACACACATCACTACTGAGCTGAGTCAGTCATAATCAATCATCAAAAAGCCATCCATCCATTTTCCTCCGCTTATCCGGGACACCTGTTTACTACATCTGCTTACACACACATGTAGACCAAAACGGGCAGACCAGATGCACTGGGTCAGAGCAGATACTCACAGCACAGAGTCGCAGCTTTATGTTAAAACCTTTCATCATGACATTACAGAGCCCAGACAATGGCTCGCTGTGTAGAGAGGCCACACCGACCTACATCGATCCACCGGCCAGGAAGAAGCCTGTGACCAGCTCTCACAGCTGCACTCTGATTGGACAACAGAACTTCTCAGAGCTCTGCTGCTGCCAATTACAGAGCAGAATTTAAAGGCAGCGGTGTCAGACAGGTAGGTAAACCTGAACAGTCGCTGCCTGTATGTCAGCATCATTCAGTATAACATTATTGTTCGTAATAACACAGAGAATCCTCTCACTGCTCACTGACCTTTCTGTATGACCCCTAAGCTGTGTCAAACCCACCTGGAGCCTCATCAAACACATATAGAGACCCCCAGACACACTCCCAGCTCCATCAAACCCACCTGGAGCCTCATCAAACTGGCCTGGCTAGCGCGCAAACACACCTCTGACAGATCCCGAGTCTTGTTCACGGCAACAAAAACAGAATGAATAATTTTCCTTCGGGATAGATTTACAAAGCTGAAAAACAATAACCAAATAAAAATTGTGTGAATCACGATGAAATTCCACAAGGGACTAGTGCAACATCTTCCAGGACACCATGAACCATAAGAGGACCTGAAAATTTTCAAGAACACAGAAAACCTACTCAGACAATGACATTTGACCTCTAAATAACCAGGACCCCATAAATGAGACCATTTGCCCTATTCCGATATCCCATAATACCTTGCGCCCAGACAGGTACCGGTGTAGAGAGTAAAGCGGATATCTATGAAAGAATAGCAACACCACATGTTGTCAGATGTAAAATTAAATATCATAATTAATGTCCACACTGCACGAGGCTGTACAAATGAATTTGGGAAAGATAAGACTCGGATATTAAAAGGTCATGTTACACTTTCCCATTAAATGACCCAAAATGCCTCAAACTGTGGATGAAGGCAAGTGTACAGAGATCAAGGTGCTATGTTATACGCCGTACAGCATGCTGTAGTGTGATGCCACTATTTTAATAGAAAACATTTACTTCAATAGAAAACAAGCTTAGGTTATCTTGGCAGTTTTGCTATTCTGTAAACTAATATTATTACAGTGCCTTGTAGGGCAGCACTGTCGGCCATCAGTGTGCGTGTTTGTGTAAATTTTCCCACTGCATGATTAAATGAAATAAATTTTATTACATTAGATTTACAGTGCAGACTGGGTATTTTGCAGCATTTTCATCTTATATCAAGAGGTGAAAGTCAAAGATTACTCTCAGTCTAAGCACAGTTAGCGTTACAGTGTGAGGACAATACACAGTTTTTCTAGGGCATTACAGCGTATAGTCCATTTGTTCTCCAGATACTGTATGTGTGTGGTGTTTGTTCTTATGGTGTTGTGTTGCTGCTGGAACACAAGAATTTCCCCATTGTGGGATTAATAAAGTCCTACCTACCTACCCACCTACCTAACTACCTAAAAACCAAATCTCCATTTTATCTTCACTGGGCGTGTGTTTGTGAATGGAAACCTTCTCCAGGAGCGTCTGAACCATAGAAAGATCCACCTGGAACCCTGTTAGAGACCTTTAAAACTAAACGAGATTTTAAAAAATGAATTAATAAACAATCTGAAACTTCTTCAAGATCTCGTGGTCGGGGAAGAAACCCTCACGCTGATCTCACAGCCGCCTCAAAAAGCTCTGCGAACCGTCCAGAGATCGACTGACACCACCTCCCGGACACTGACTTAGGAACAGTTTCAAAGCTATTTAAAAACACCTGGAACTGTTCCAGGAAACATCTGGAGAAAACCAGAAACCAACCTAACATACTGAACTTGTGTTCACACTAATACAAGTGAATAAAATCGACTGGGTAATCAGTAACTTCATTACAAAGCCCATGATTTCCACCCTTAATGGTGAGTGGATCTAGTTATTGATTTGTTAGCTGACCTAACTTTAACAATGCTTAAGAACCAAAAATAAAAATGTTAGGCTCACATTTTCGGCGTACCGCTCGTTGACCGTGGGCAGGGGGGTCCTGGCTGACATGTTACAGGGGTCAGTGTATGGGAGGTTCGGTCATGAAGCCGTCTGACCGCTCCGGAACACCTGCCCAAACTTAGCGGACTGCTTTAGCTTAAGATCACGGTTATCTGAGGTGTTCACCCGGCATTACTGGATCCAGTCCTGGTTCCAGGACCAGAGGGTTATCTTTCCCGGTTTGGCTCGGTTCGGCTTCTCTTCCAGCAATTTCTTTTTTTTTTTACCAACATCGATCCAACCTGAATCGGAGCAACAGTTCCTCTTTGCTGGCTAGGATACCTGGCTAGCTCTAGCAGCCGGCAAGACCGGGTGTGTGTTTCCTGGACCACAGCGAGTCCAGCTCTGCCTGTAGACCTTTGGCTGGTGTCGGATCTGTAAGACAAGCTTGGTTGAATCGGCTCAGCAAAGGGTCTGGCCCCTTCAGCTTCAGCTTCAGCTTCTTCTCCTCCACCTCCTCCTCTCCCGAGACACTGTCCGGTTACCCCTTCGCTGGCCAGAGCCAAGATGGAGGACTACCCAAACCCAGCGCGTTGACAGGATGTGACGTTAGAAGAAGCGGGGGATGTGATTGGTTAGTCAAGCCGAGCGGCGGCGTTTGTTGTTGCTAGGGTGACTGGACCAAACCGGAAAACGGGTCAGCGCACGTCCGCTTTTCCGTAGAACGCGGGTGACACAAGAGTAGTAACGCGAAACACGTTCTTTGAGCTCGTTTTATTTGATTAGTTCGTAGTAAAGGCTCTCTTCCATTATAAAGCCTCGTCCGGTTCTTTCAAACCAGGAACTCCGAGGGACGACTCAGACCACTTGAGTATATAAAAAATATAACCGTGCTGGTTTATTCAAAGAGTCACAGGCAAGAATTCACACTTCCAGTCCAGAGATCTTCCAACCCCCAGCCTGCCCAAGCAGCCCGGAAGCAGAAAAGACCCCGAACCAAGAATTGCTATACAATATTAATCATTTCTGGGCTGTCAAACCGTGACGTCACCTGATATGCCAGCTTGGCAGCTGAGCAGAGCAGTAGACAAAACATGAAGAAAATAATGTGTGTGGCTGGTGTTTTCGTGGTGTGTATCTAAAACAATTTGACATAACATTACACATTAAGACAAATATTATGGTTACTTTTACCGTCATAATAACATTTGTCCCTGACGGCAGACTTTCTGCTTTACATAACCTTGCATTTAACAGCCTGAGGAGACATCCTGGCTACACTAACATCTTCTAATACAACAGATCTCTAATCAATATCTATCTAAGAAATTACCTAACAGTAGATAAAACAACAACAACAACAAAAATGTCTTTTTCAAGACACAAATACCAGAAGCGGGATCATCCAAACAGTGATTTTCGTACCTCAATGCGCGATGTCAGGGAAGTTCAATTCAGCCATAAGCTTTCACCATTTCCCTAAGGATGAAACCTTAAGAAAAATATGGATGTACGACGTGGTAATCTTGTAATTAAGAGGACGACAACAGTATGTAGTAGACACTTCGTCTCCACAGATGTAATTCAAGGTGGACGACGGCGTTTGAAAGAAGGAGCCGTTCCAGTGCTGTTTGTCTGGAATGACTACTCTCTGTCTGCAAGTAGACCAAGGGTGTGGGAGAGAACGCAACGGCCGGAGGAAATTGAGGAGGAACAGATGGACGTCGGATTTCTGCTTCAGTGTCATGACCATGCTAGACCAGAACCATCAGCCTTGGACATGGTATGTGAAAAATTAGAAGCCCAGCAGTTTACGATTGAAGAGCTGCGGCAGAGACTGACTGAGGTTACACTGAAGCAGTCGTTTGGTTTGGACAGATTTGCAGCATCCGATGAGGACATCAGATTCTATACCGGGTATGCACATCAAATAACACATACATTAAATTTGACGCAATTGTATTGCACCTTTTGTAATATAATTTATCATTTAAACTCATTTATGTTTTAGATTTGCCAGCTACCGCCATCTGCTGGCATTTTGGAGACAGATTGAACCTGCAACAAGGAGGATGGTGCGTGTTGGTACCAGATCGTGCACTACAGACACAACAGCAGTTCCAGAGAAAGATGCTGAACCACCTCGTCCCCCGGTAGGAATAGCTCATACTGCATAATTTTGCTTATAGAAACAGCTGACTGATAAATTAAGCAACGTCAGCCGGTGTGAAGGAATATCAAAACAATCATGGATATTTCCCTGTTTTTTCTGCATATGTTGTGATGAAAAGCCATGCAATGTACCATTCCGGCTTGAATCACTCTCGTGAGACATTGCTGGTACTGACACGTCACAACCGTGTTTGTTGTCTTCCTCTGCAAAAGAGCTAGTGGCAGAGGTGCATGCGCCAGCAACCGGAGTCATGATTTGGTCTACACAGCCAGACTTTAAATCATTTAGATAAGTCTGTGCTCTAATTCTATCAGTTTTACCTCCTGGAACTGATGCTGTGTTCAAAATTCCTCCCTGTACAACCACCAGGGGCGCCATGTCCTGTGTTGCACTTTGTGGCATCTGTAAGCCACTCTTCAATATTGGCTTCCTCTCTCCTCATGGAGTCAGCTGTGAGGAAGACGGCTGTGTGTGACTAAACTGCACTTTACAATCTCTATCAGAGACAGCTTGGACTGAAACAGCTGTGCCACTGGGAGAATTAACATCAGATTTCTGTGATTTGCTTGAACTGGCTGAAGGAGACTGAAAACACGTGAAATTCTCCAAAAAACATATACAATCAGCAAGGAAACCCTCAGCTTGTTTTAACTTGGCTTCTGTTTTGTTCTTTGTGAAGATGGTACAGGTCTTAACTTCCTGCCTAGCCTTCACTACAGCAAGAAAGGCGTGCTTCAAAAACAGCCCTATAGCATCCCCTTGTGGGGGAGGACTGTCACTGTCCCCAAGCATACCTTTCCTTTGCATTTGTAGGACCCAGGAAATAAACCAATCTCTTGCTTTGTCCTGCTCATCTTTAGAAAGTGTATTTAACCATTTTGACAAAAGGTTGTAGAGTACTGCCCCCAAAGAGTAAGGCTTAGCCTTTTCCCAGTCTTGTACAACATTTGCAGACATATTAAAAATTACACGTGTGCGGTAGCTCATGAGACAATTGTTTCGAACCACTGGGCCGAGGCGCGTTTCGGTCACGTGACTAGTGACGTTTGAAGCACTTGAGTGACGTCCGAAGCAGTTGGTTCGTCGGAGTTTTGTGAATCGGCTGATTGGTTCGGTTTGTCATGTGAATCATTTTGGCTCAAGTGTGTTCAGAGATAGGATATCCCTATTTAGTGGCGTTCATTTGAATCTGTCTTTGCCGAGTAGGTTGATTTGTTGCTGTTGTTGTCGTGAGAGTTAGTAGTGTTGTAGCAGATTGTGTATTTAGTGGAGAATCACTGTAGATAGATACTAAGATAGACCTAAATAGCGTCTGATATAGATAAGATATATATATATATTGCAGATATAGATGAGCTATACATAGATATATTACATATATAGAGAATATATACCTAGCACCTAAGAGCCAAGCATGGAAGAGAGATGGATCCGGCACCAGAGAACAGCCAGCAGCCAGCTACTGCCAGTAATCCAGGTAGGCCTATACATGACAGTTACAAAGGATTACTTATGCCCATAATTTTGTGTTATATTGCCCTGTGATACCGTTCAGTAACACTGGATATTTATGCAACTTAATGCATTGTAATGTATACATTCTCCCTTCCAGGCAAAAAAATGCGAGACCTTGATGACTGTTTGGTGAACTTCATCATCAAGGATTCTCAGCCGTTCTCTGTTGTGGAGGATGTTGGTTTTAAAGAGCTTGTGGCAAAGCTGGACCCCACATACACTCTACCAACAAGGAAGGCACTGAAGAACATGGTGGTAGCAAAGTATGAGGAGGAGAGGGAGAAGGCCAAAGCTGAGATCCAGGGTGTTGAGATTGTGAGCCTCAGAGCAGATATGTGGACCTCCATCAACATGGACTCATATCTTGCTGTCACCTGCCACTTTGTCAATAACAATGACCAACTGTCTGTTACGGGTCCCAAAATGGCGATCTGGAAAGCACAGATATATTTAGCAACAATGAGGACACGAGGCTTTCAGTTCACGTTCCAAATTGTGTCTCTTTTTTTCTTTAATATTACATTCAAATAAACTATTCACAACAACATTTCTCCAAGTCGTCCCTTTCCATCTTTACACATTCTTTGTGTCCATATTCAGCACTCACAATTACGCTCTCTTACCCAATTTGTGTTCAGATCTGTCAGCACAATATATATATATATGACCCCTTATGGAAAGTACTTCCCAGTATAAGTATATAAGGTAGTTACCATCAGCTCCACCTTTACCAGCTGCAGCATTAAAGTGATGGACACAGTAATTAGTCACTATGATCCAGTATCAGAGACGTTACTGGGACACGGGGTGTTCTGCTGGATGAGTACTGGTACTTTAGATACTTCAAGTATATTTGGATGCTGATACTTTTATTTTAGTAACATTTTGAATGCAGGACTTTTATTTGTAACAGAGTATTATTACACTGTTGTACTTCTGCTTTCATTGAAGGACCTGAGTACCTCTTCCACGGCTGAAGTGAGTCTAATGTTCCTCAGTTTGCTCTGAAGGTCTGGTGGTAACAACATGACTTTTCACACATTCCCTTTTTCTCTCTAGTTTAGTTTGTGTTTTAACAAACTATTCAGATTTTAGTCAAAAGCCGGTTCATCTTTATCTTGTGCTCAAACAAAATGTCACGAAACAGCAAAGTGCATGAAATCAGTTTATTACAAATGACGTGGTGATACAAATAAATCCTGTTGGCGATGAACACGAGTCCCGAGATGTGCAGATCAAGTGAAGTGAATAAATGAATGGGGAAGGTCTGATTCCATTAGAAACATTGCGGCCGACCCTCACACGACCAAATACATAAAAAAGGTGTGTGTTTTGCTTCATCTACCCAGCCTGTTTCTACAGCTTCTCATGCACTGTAACACAAGTAAAACACAAACTGCAGGTGGCCCGACTGACCGGTCACCTGTAGCAGCAGCAGATACATCATCACAGCAACGGCCAATCAGGTGATAAATCAGTACATTCTCAAAGGCTGTAGAGCAGTGCAACATAAAAGCCACAAGGATCTCAGCCCATTTGCACAGGTTGTCAAATAAAAGAGCCTCAAACTCACCTGCCTCACATTACAGGAAGCATGCACTTTAAAAATAAAAGTCTAGAATATCCTCTTTTTACTTGACAGCAACAGCTCACGGTCTCCTCCAGTCACATTCATGTGCAAGTCCAGTGTCCTGACCCGGTTAGCCTAGCTTAGCACAGCTTAGCACAAAGACTGGAAGCAGTGCCGGCTATAGTGAAGGGGGTCACATGAGTCACATGTTCTGTGTTGTGTGCTGTTACTTGGTGCATATCATGCATCATTTTCAGAATCAGACCTGTACACCTCACAGGAGAGACCCCGCACACCTTGGACACAAACGGTCTGAACTCCTCCCCTCTGGACGGCGCTATAGGTCACTGTATGCCAAGACAACCAGACACAAGGACGGTTTCTTCCCTGGGGCTTCCCTGGCCGGCACTTAACCCAGGACTATGTAACTGGACACAGCATCACCACAGTGCCATAAACTGACCACTGCATACAGCAGTCTGCAGTTGTTCTCCCACAATGTGTGTACATATATATATATATAAATATATAAATATATTGCATCTCTTTTTTCCTATTTGATTGCACACATTCTGTGACTGGCCTGTGAAGACTGTGGGATGTGGCTGAAAGCTCTGGAAAAAGTAAGTTGACTGGGAGTGTTTTGTCAAACACATTATACACAGTCTGTTCCAACGTTTTCGATGCTCTAACAGTAAAGCACATCTTTCTTTAGCCTTTGATATACATCAGGTTGTGGGAACTAAAAATACAGACATTATGTGCACAGACTTGTAGCTTGCAGCCATGTACGCATGAAGCTTCTGAAGTCTACAGGAAGTCCAGTAAGGCTGCCCCGGGGGTGCTACCGTCTCGGGGTACAGTCACTATCAGCCCGGCTTTGCACCGACTGGACGTGACGCCAAAGACGAGAGCTACTTAATCCAGAGAAACGATCCTGTGTCGGGTCACACTAAAGAAAACGGGGTAAACTTTCTGAATCCGAGTTCAGTGTGTCTCCGTACAATGGATGGTTCAAACAGAACGATCCAGGGACATCTGTGTCGTCACAGCGCGTTTCTCATAGTAACTAAGTGGCATCACACAGTTTGGGAGCCCCCACCTCAGAATAACGAGGAGGCCACCATCACCACTGTCACGTGAGATGCCGAGTTCTAATTATGAAGGAAACCAGCGAACACAGCTCATCTAATGACCTGAACAGTATGATCTGATGTCACTGCTACGCTTCTGTGCGCGGTGTGTTAAGAGTAACACGGCCAGGCCACGGACCAACGGGGGTAGAGGTACCCAGGCTGCAATACGTCCGACCACACTGATGTCTCGGAGCACACCTGGCTGTGACGCAGACAGGTGATGCATTTAAGGACCAACAGGATGTCTCTTGTTAAATCTGCGGTTTCCTTTTACGTTAGGGTGATTCATTTGAGGTCAACAGACATTTCAAAGAAACGTCTCCGACTTTCAGTACTCGCAACATTCAGCTACAGCTGAAGCAGTTTCACAGTCGGCGCACAGTCACGGGGCAGCCAGCAGCGCCCAGAGCGCACAGCACAACACCACACTGCGCCTCGTCCCTGTTTCCTGACTGACGCGCACACAGCTGCAACTTTCTCTTCATCAACACAGACAGAAAACTGAGACACACAAGCTCTCATCTGTTCAAATGCAACACAACAACAGATTATCAAAGCACAAAGTTGATCAGTATATGTCTGAGCAGCTGCTTCTTGTTGTGCGATGTGGAAGCAGTTCTACATGGTTCTAGCTGACACGCAAAATGTTTGTGTTCCTAATGACTGAATCACTGGGCAGAGGAGAGGGTTGTTTTGGACAGTTCCCGTGCGTCCACACCACCAACAGGTTCCTACAGACTGATGAAGAGAAACTGGCTGTCACTGGTGACACCCCGCAGTCACGCCATGCACGAGAAGTTTCACATTCACGTCCACAGAGAGTCCAGACAGAGACGGTCATGTTAAAGACACTGCGCTGCAGCAATACAACAGTGGACACGATCAGTTTGATATCATGTTGTATACAGCGCCTTCTGGTCGTAATCATCACGTGCACGATGACACAAACAATGTTTGCACATAATTACGGACACACCAGTGGAACATAAACATGACATTAGTCCGGCCAATCTCTGCAGCTAATCTGTGTCCCGTTTTAGTGGCCGTCTCCCTCAAAGGACGCGGTCCATAAAGACAGGAGGTGGCCCCTTAAGGCTGTGCCTCTGGGGGTCCGAGTCCTCTGAATGTCAGCAAGTATGGACATCAATTGGACAGGCGTAGCCAAACCACTGAGGTGAATTTATAATCGAGATGTGACCTTAGTAAGAGATGGCCAGCTAAAACAGAGCACAGCTCATATGCACATCTCTGGCAGAAGCACTGTAAATACCAGAGCAACAACCCACAGCCACCACGGTCGACTGCTGACAAGTCACGGGCAGAACAAGGCCTGTTGGTGAACCTCAGAAACATCTTAAAATGAATCTTCTTGCTCTTTTCAGACTACTCTAACTTCTGAGGAACACCTTCAGACATGGCTGCCAAGCAGATTGAGGATGAGCCTCTCTGTGTGCTACAGCCAGTGATGATCTGGGTCGGACCAGGTCACTGCACAGAGGCAGGGAGACAGAGCTGCTGGTGGCGTGGATGCACAGTTACTGTCCAGATGTGCTACGGTGGCCAGGTCAGGCCATGTAGTGGGCCCCATCAGGTCCACGAGGGGGTCGTTTGGTGCTTTCATTGGCGTTGGAAGTTGAGAGGGTTCCACGGGGTTTAGTGGCAGCTTTCTTCTCCTTCGAGGATGGTCGAGTGTGACCAAGAGACGACGTCCCAACGGCTGCAGTCTGAAGACTCCCACTGGGTTCCACAATGGTGTTTATAACTAGGCAAGAACCAGAGGACATTCTTAAGCACACAGGTCAAACTGAATCTCCCCCAGGTTGAGATTTTATAAAAGCTGTTTAGAAAGATAGATTCAGATCTGTGCTAGACACATATAACATAAAAAGGAAAAATAATGCCAAGAAACTTGCTAGGTAAAAACTTGCTACACAAATTGCTAGAGTCTAGAAGAGGGACTGGTCAAGGGCAGGTTTAGCCTAGCTTAGCACCAGCACAAAGACAGGAAGCAGAGCGAAACAGTTGGCCTAGAACCCCACTACACAGCTGTTTACTCAGCTGTCTAAAGCTTTGTCCAAGCTCTGCCGTTTCTGCCGAAGGACGCTTCTTTGCAATATTGAGATTAGTTTGGCTGTTCCACATCCAAACTTACATTTTTGCATAGATGTCAGTGTTATTTCCAGTTATGCTGTGAATAAAGTCAAGGCTAATATGAGGCTCAATTCAAAAGCAATAAAAAAAAAACTAAATCACTGTTCACCTTTGACTGCTTCTCAGTCAACCTCTGTGTACAAATATCTAAAACTGTGCCCCATATTCTGCAGATAAAACTGGACTTTAATTTTCTAGTCACTCTTTTGATTAAGCTGGATATAAAAGTGAACAAAATACACCTTCAATTCTGTGCTCAGTAAACACAACATATGCAAACCCAAGTCTTCTGTTACCTTCAAGCTGCCTTTGGACTCTCCTCAGCTCTTTCAAAATGGAGGTAATTTCCTGTGACATGAAAACAAAAACAGGAGAGAAGGCTCCATCTGTGTTCCATTAAAACATGAGTGCCATTATAAGTTATTATTATGAGTTTTCAGAAGAACCTTGTTGGAGGTTTTCAGGATGGGGACTTCATTTTCTGTGCTGATCTTTGCCTCGATCTCCTCCCAGACTTCTGCCTTGTTCTGGAACAAGACCCTGAGATGAACATACCGCAGGGTTAGTACGAGTATTAATAAAAAAATAAAGTAAAAACATCAGCCATATCAACAGGCCCAGAAACCTGGACCTGAATCTAAGGAGCCTTTGACACACAACCAAAGCGGAAATGAACCTTAACTCAAAATAACCGAACAGCAACTGGACCCAAAGAAGAAGTGACCCACACACAAAACTGGACCCAATTACAAAGTATTTACACAAGGTGCATGTTCCCTATTGTCATCAGTAATGACAAATGTTCTGCACTCACATTAAATATCCAACTAAAACCTCTGCCATTCCAGGTTTATCTGCACCGAGTAAATACAAATGCTGTGGCTAAATCTACTGCTACAGTGAAAACCATCAAGAGCCTCCTTACTTCATTTTTTCAGCCAGCTGCTCTGTGTTCTCACGAATGGCCTGGGACAGCTGAGACACCGGATTCAGCATCAGGTTGTCCAGAATCACCTGGAAGGGTTTATCAGAAGGAGCAAGATGAACTCAGAGCAGCGGCCTGTGACATCAGCACTCACCACAGTTTACTTCCTGTTTCCCCAGCACACCAAAACTAACTGCAGCACTGTCATGTCCTGTTTCAGTGTGAACTGGTCACACAGCAGGTAGTCACGGACCACTCTGACGCCTCTATAGAAACATTTTTAGTGTGTTTAGCTGGTGAGGGGCGTGGCTTAAGGATGGACACATCAAGCTGTCGGCCAGCACGTTGACCCAGAAACAGCTATCAATCAGGTCTCATTCCATTGCTGTCACATGTTGTTGTCTGAGAGATTGATAGAATACATTTTTTTATTTGTATAATTAATTTTAAATGATATATTTAACTGATAAAATCCCGAGGACATGCAGGCCTCCATCTAAGAAATGACATATGGATCATACTGACTAAAACTAGCGTCACATTAAAAGCTAAACTTCAGATTTGTGGCACTGAGCTGCAGTGTGAACGCAGCCTCAGTGGGACCAGACAGTGACCTCTTCGCGGTTCCACGGACGGCGGTGCTTAGAACTGGGCTCTGGTTCATTCATGTTTGCATCCAGGTCCAAGACGACAGCAGAGCCTGGAGGAACCTTCTGGTAGTTTAAACTGGCCTCAGGAATATGTTGGACCAGCTGGAAAGAGAGTAAAGGGAGTCGGGCTTGGTCATCCACCTCTGCATACTAGTTGTCAAGCCAGCGAGCAGCTGGTCGGTGATGGTGGTTCTCCATGAGCGCATGCACCAAGTCAACATGCAGCTGCAATGGAGGAGGGCATCTGTGTATGCAGTGAATTTAGGTAGTGCTGGGATACAGTGCACTAACAACAGGGAGATGTGGGAGTGCAGGAGGATCCTACTGGGCACCAGCTACAGCTCCATGAACTGACCCAAACCAGTAAAACCAGTTCATTAACGATGTAGGACAATGGACATTTATGGACAAAACTACCAAGTAAGCACAAAACCAATCTGAGCAGTAAGCAGTCTGAACATCAGGAGTTGAGAGGGAGCAGGGAAAGATTTCAAAGCTAGAGGTTTGACGGTAGATGGTGTAGGGTGGGGTTGGTACAGTCCAGTAGAACTGGTTTGGGTAGAGATGTGCTGAGTAGGGTAGGCCTCACAGTAGAGTAGGGCTGTAGTGGTTTGGTGTATAGTAGGGTAGGTTTGGGTTGGTGGTAGTGGGGTAGAATCTGAGGCAGACTTCGGTAGAGCTGGGGCAGGTACAGTGGTAAGTCTGGTCAGAGTTTGGTTTGGTCAGATAAACAGAGATGTGCTGAGTCTGGGTAGAGGCAACCGTGGGACAGGTAGGACAGGGTAGGCCCAGGTCGGGTCGAGTTGGGTCAGCCTGGGTTCTTAAACCTGTTTTGTGGCGGCATTCAAAACCTCGATCCTGCAGATGGATTCCAGCTTGGATGTGTTCTGTGCCAACTCCGTAGTTTTGTTGTTAATAATATTCTGTACTAAACCAGCCAATCAGACTACTCTCAAGATTAAAACATCAAATGTGCTTCAGAAACAACCAAACACTGATGAGAGGGGAGTGTTATGATCAGCGCTGGGAGGGGCGGGATGGCAGCGGAACAATCACAGTGCAGGAGGAGTGATGAGTTAGACACCTGAGATGGTTGAAGCCCACATAAGTATGGATAAGATGGCGTCTGCACAGCAGAACAGAGACATGAGAATCCAAAGCATGATGAGGATCCTGTCAATCAACCTGGATCTCATCTTTAGAAACCAGGACGCTTTGAAACTCTGGGGGTCATTATTGATCAAGGTGATCAATAAAGCCACAAAAACATGGCCTGGGAAATAATAACACACACACTTTCCAATTTAAACTGGAGACACATTATGAACTAATAAGAAGCAAGTCAACTTGCACACCACAAGGTGACATCAATCAGAGAAGTGCAGTCTGTCATTTTTAAAATCATTGGTTACAGACAAGTCATCGTTAACATCACATCTATAGATCAAGTAGTGTGTTCCCAGTTTTAGGGGCTGCGGTATGTGTGGTGGCTGTCTGACTGTTCATGGCCCACCTCCTCCCTGGCAGAGATGGCGGAGGCCAGTGTGCTGGGCAGCGAGCTGGGGGAGGTGGTGGTGCCAATGCCAGAGCTCGGTGAGTCTCCATCTCCAGCAACATCATGAATTTCCTTCGCCAAGATGGCCAAATCCTTAGCCAGGTCCTGACTGAGCCTGAAGGGGAAACACAAGCAGAAGGTCAACATGGAGGTTTGAGTCAGCTGGTACCGAGACCAGCCAATAGCAAGTTACATATGAATATCTCATTGTTCTTTTACTTGGCGATCTCAGCACTGTGCGTGGACCAGTTCTGGTAGGGGTCAACCTCATTCTGGTCCTCATCCTCCTCTGTCTCCTGGGAGACAGACTTGGATCGAGTGGCGGCTGCCCGGTGGGCACGGGGAGTCTGGGCGGAGGTGGAGGGGTGGGAGGAGTGTTTGGTTTTGGGAGCACCGGCACTCTTCTCGTACTCTTCCTCAGAGGATGAGGAGAAGTCAGAACCTTTCTGCCTGCGACGGGAACCTGTAAAGATTCAGACTCTGTTGTTGTGCAGCCTATGGCAGGTGAAGTTATAGTTTGTGGAGCTTGTTGGATAAATTCAGACATTTTACTCAAATCCCTTTTTCATTCTGCATCAATGTTGCACTCATTCAGCAGCTCAGTTCAACTGACTTTCAATATGAATAACTTGCCTCCACAGCAACAGCCACCGAGGCTCATCACAGTTCAGGACACCATCAGACAAGTCAATACAGTGATTTCAAAATGTCATTATACTACTTAGAAACATCCAGGATCTGGATTTATACACTGAAGTGCAGTCGCCTCCTAATTCCTGACATGACTGAAGATGATAGAGATTGATGCTGTGAAGCTGTGTTTCCATGGTAGCAGCAGCAGACTCCAGGGGCTCGACTGCAGTGACTCACAGGGGACCAAAATCTGATGTGATCCACAATGCTAGTAAAAGGGCAGATGTTCCTGAGAGCTGAAACAAATGCTGGTCTAAATGACTCTCTAAGGTGGTAGTTAATTATCTGTTGATCAGTCTGTGCTGACAACAGTGGAAGTCAATTTACTGCAAACAAAAACACAGAGCAAGTCACACAGTGTCATTTGTATCCTCCTGCACAGTCAGCACATCATCTGAACAGTGAAGTACAGTGGAGGAACATCATGATGTGAGGCTGCTCCGCTGCCTCTGGACCTGGACCGCTGTCATCGTGGAGGGAAAATGAAATCCCCAGTTTATCCAGGTGTCTTACAGGATGATGTCAGGGTGGCTATTGGCAAACTGAAGTACAGAACAAGCTGGGTGATGCAGCAGGATAATGACCCTAAACCTCGAAGTAAATCTACTACAGATTGGCTTCGGAGACACAAAACCTGCCTATTGGAGCGGCCGGGTCAGACAAGACCAGACTGAAACAAATTATTTTACTGATGGCAAACAAAATTTGGTCATTTAAAAATCTGAACCACTAAATTAGAAGAACAAGTGTATAAGTTTTCATTAAAGACCAAGGTGTCTGTGTGTGTTTTGATTTGGACTTAATATTTGCAGTATTGTGAATGGATTAAGACCGAGCACTCTGTTAAGGCGTCCAGGTACTCCAGCTCCTCGCACAGCCCAAAGACACAGAGGCTGGGTTGACCGGTGCCTCTAAACTGCCCATAGGTGTGAATGTGTGCCAGTGCTGTGGTGGACTGGGGGGTGGATGGGGGTACAGGTGCATATTACCTGTTGAGCTAACCCTGGCACATTTACACTGATGCTGCTAATGTTAATGTTGATTAATGGGCAATATACTATGAATAAACAAACAAACAAATAAAGCAAACCACCTGTGACTAAAGGGACCATGAAACCAGCAGAATCAGCCTCTGCTCTGGATCAATAATGGTACAGATGTTGACATCCTCAGGAGCCAGACCATAAAACAGTCTGGTAACCACATACTGAAGAAGAGACAAGGTTTAACCAAACCATTATGTGTTGATAAAAATTCAGAAATTCTAACTTACTGGTGCTGGGGTACTTGGCTCCACTGGACCGGGTACGTGTCAGTGGTTGCTTCGCGGGAGCTCCGCCCCCTCTGCTCACAGCCTGCCGGGCATCGCCCACTGATGTCTTCCTGGCGGTGGCAACAGACTCTGTATTCCGACTGGAGACACTGGACCAGCCCGTGGAGGATGCCTCGTTGTCGCTGGGAGTCGTGAAGGAACCAGTCCTTTTCCTGGGCATCGCTAAGATGTCCAGCCTGGACAGCTTCTTCCCCTCAGAGGACACTTTGGGTGCTGTGGCGATATGGTCAGAATTCTGGGAGCCCCGGTCAGTCTCAGTACCTTCATTGTCTGAGGCCTCACCAAGTCGTGCACGACGAAGCATGGATGCTCGAGTCGGTCGTGGGGCTGACAGGCTATTGGAACGTGTCAGAACCTGCTGAGTCGCTGTCTTGGGTGACTTTCCGTTGTCTTCTTTCTGAAGAGGGGCAATGTGTCTCTTACTGCGGCTGGACGGCTGAGAAATTTCATGGTCAGATGATGTTGTTTCAGTCCAGTGTGAACCAGAGCCCTGTTGGCCCTCAGACAGATCCAGAGAGCCACGGTTCCCCGCACTGCGGCGCATTTGGAAGCGCTTTGCTGCCTCTGCCTTGTTTGAAGCATCGGTAGTCACCTGACTACGACGTTTCTCAGAGAGTCGTTCACGTGCAGTAAGCTGCCGTCCCTTTTCTTGAATGGATGGGCTGGAAGAGGACTTCTCCTTCTGAAGGCTGCTGATGGCGGGACGTTTTTTAGAGGAACAGGTGACTGGCGCGTTTTTGCTACTCACCTGGCTCACTGTGCTCGCTGTGTCCACATCAGACTCACCAGAAAGGGAGTCGTCCATGAGCCTGGAAGAACCTCCTTTCTTTGAGCTGCGACCAGAACTAGACGAGGGAAACTTGTTGTCCAGAGAGGACAGAGTTTCCTGGGCCTCTTGAAGGAAAGACTGAGTGTCCTGGATGTTCTCCCTTCTCTCCTCCAGGTCTCTGATAGACGGGTGGCTTGAAATGTGGGGAAGCCTCTTCATCTGAGCGGTGTCGCTGGGCTGGTCTTTGGTGAAGCTCTCCTGCCGAACAAAAGATGATATGCAGCTGTCTTTAGTAGGGACAGAATCCTTGTCCTGTGTTTGGAGGTTTGGAGCAGAGCTGTTGGGTTTGACACCTGTCCTCCTGGGTTCATGTCCACTCAGGTGTCGGATCAGGATGGTTGTAGGGGGAGTTTTTGTGGGCAGGCTGTCTGTCCTCTCAGATTGTTCTGGGCTCCGGGCCTGGTCACCTTTGTTTGGATGGTCTTCAGAGCCAATGTAGAAGGAGGTGGATTTGGCAAATGGAGAGCCTTTCTCATGGCCTTTAAACTGAAGACCAGCAGCCCCTGGAGATGTAGCTCCAGTCCTGACCTGAGTCTTCTTGGTTTTCTCCAGACGGGGTCCATCATCTGAGCGGCTGGCATCACTCAGGCTGTCTGGGTCCACGTCATCCTGAACAGACAGGCGCTGGCTGGATTCCTGTGGGCGGAGAGGACCACAGACTCTGTCCAGTGGTTCCTGGCCTTGGAAAAATTCATGACGAATGAGGATACTTGGGGTGACACTATCCAGCTTTTCTGAAGGAACCTGGGGGAGCAGTCGTCTTGTCCTGGAGCTGTGACTGGACTCTGAGTTGTCGTAGCTGTAACTTCCCATTGACCGGCTCATTAAGCGCAAATCTACAAAAACAAGGCATTTGATTATCCTAACTTTTCATATTAGAGTCTTCTATTGTCTATGAATTCAATTGTTGTGTATTTTCAAGGGAACATACAGTATTTTATGTGACTTATGTGTTGCATCTTTTTTCACCCTAAAACATGATTGAGTCCATTTTGTTCCTTATTGTAGACCATGTGTGATGGAAATGGTGCTATACAGCAACATGAGATTGTGCTGCATTGTTCAAATTTCTCCAGGCCAGTGTCAATATTATAGTTTGCTCTTAAAGATATAGTCAGCGATTCGAAGTCATTACACTTTTTTGTCATATTCAGCTAAATATTCCTCACATTTCTCTGCCTGGTCTTTCATTTTGTGTGCTCCACAAACCCCAGGTGGGCGTGTGCTGTGCTCGGTCTGTAACAGGCCAAAAAAGGGATCGGAGTCGGTCTGGCTCATTTCGACCAGTCAGCACAAGAAGGCGCTCTTCTTAGTGCACTGCATAGTGTGTGTGTGTGTGGGTGCGCGTGTGTGTGTGTGTGTGCAGCTGAAAGGCAGAGGTGGCTGACAAAGTACCAGCTCCAACATTTCCTCTTACAACTATACAACTAAACAGCCAGGAGGAAAAAAGACAGAGGCACAAAAATGTGAAAAAAAAACAAAATCTATAACATTAATCAGGCAAAGTCGGAGACCTGTGAAAACGTGGATACGTGCTGCTTTTTCTAAATCAGCGTTTCCTGAGACATTCAGCTAAACTGTCAGTTTGTAGATGTATGTGTTTGTTGTGACTTCAGCCACAGCAGCTGGAGGTTGGTGTGAGAGAATAACTGGAGTCTGTAGCTGGTTCGCCACATGTTGTGCCCCGGTCACTAGTTTTCTCCTTTGGCGTCAGCTCTTCCCCCAGTCACTATAGTATCGCTGCTGTGGTTACAAGCTCCTAACCGAAATGACTTGTGGATTTGTGCTTGTGGTGATCAATGCGTAGACATTCTTTTGCCTGAATCACTGACTATACCTTAAAGAATACAAATAAATCATCAATTAAGACTCCAAGGAAAAGTGACTGGATTGATCAGACAACATGAGGAGGTCTGAAATCCATTAGTGCCAAACTAAGACAAGAGTGCTTATTATTATTACCAAGAGGTAAGTGGCAAGGCCAGTGATCAGGTGTGGTCATGCAGATAGTATAGGCCTTAATAGCAGGTGGAGCTCTGGGGTCACTGGAGGTCAGATACCCAGCCCTAAAAACACCACACTTATACTTTTACCTGACAAAATGCTCAAATAGGAGTCGAACAGTACCTTCAAGACATTCCCCTTGAGGTGGAGTGGACCCAGGCTCAGCATAACCATCTGCCAGACTGGCCCAACGGGACACCCACTTAGGTCCTTCTGGACCTGCTGCATGACCAGATGGAACCTGAAACATAAAACAACATGAAAATGTGAGACCAATGAGTCCAACAAAACTTTAAAGACTGAACTATGTAATAGGAGGGAATAACACCACCAGTCTGCATGCACTGGGATGAGAACATGCTGCTCAGGTGTTTCTCCAGGGTTTGATTCAGTTTTTACCTGAATGGGGCCTGCTGGGGGGCCGCTGTTAGCAGCTGGGATAAAGCCATGCAACGGGTCCACAGTGCTACCTTCGCTAGGCAGGTAAGCTTGCTCATCCTTGCCATCATTAATTACAGGTCTATAAGCTCCCGTGTTCACACCACTGTACTCTGGAGAGTCGAGGACACCAAACACCTGTCAGAGCACAGGGCATGCATGAGGAGGGGCAGGACCAGGGCAACAGGAAGGATCAAACAGGACAGGTTCCGTGCATACCTACAAACACAGTGTTTCATATCATACTGACACTGATCTCCAACCTCTTTTGCTGCCTGGATCATTTCTGTACTGACAGTTTATTGCAGGCTGGACGATTCAGCGAGGAGGCAAACAGTGACTGACAGAGAGCTTGGCAGTAGATCATACATTTGGATCATTACACATTAGGGTTTATTTCTCCTTAGCCCCACAAAGAAACTCTTAAGCAATGTTCTGTTAGCTTGCTAGTTGTAACAGTAATAGAAACACAGCACATGGATCCTGTATTAAGTGTCATGCCCACAACGCTAGTTATTACAGCTTCAACCGTACATGGAGATGAACCATGTCTGATGGATCTACTGTCTCTCAGTGCAAAGAAACATTTGTTAGTTTATTAACCAACTGCTGTTTTGCTCGAGTGGTTTTCTGTTTTGGTCACTGTTACACCAACCTGGGCAGGTTTTTGTTGAGCAACTAAAAACCCTCAGGGTTGTACTTTATGGTCACTGTGAGTTCACCTGGTCGATCATGCTGCGAGCTTCCTCCACCTCTTTGTCCTGCGACTCCGTCTCGATGGTGTAGGTCCCAGCATCACTCAGGCTGTCATCCTCCTCATTCCGCATCATCCTCTGGGAACCCTTGAGGTCTCCTCCACGGACAAACAAGGGCAGCATGGGGGACATGGGCGGCGCAGAAGAGTGGACCGGAGAGGCGTTCTGACTGGCAGCGTTGGTGGGGATGGAGGACTTTGAGCTGGCTGGAGGCTGTAAGGGGGAGGAGGGGTAGGAGACTGAAGAAGGAGCTGCAGGTTCCTGGGGGGAGGGAATCCTTGCTTGTGGAGGTGACACCATCACCGGTGGTGCAGACATTGGTGGAGGTGTCTTGTCCCTTGGTGGGGAGGAGTCCTGTTGACTCAAATCCTTCAGGAATTCAGCAGCAAACTCCTGGGCCAGCTTTGACTTCTTCCCAACACTGCCGAAGGGTCTGATGATGATGCCAGAAGACGAACGAGAGGAGGAACTCAATGAGGCCGCCTCCCCCTCTGTCTTCTCCCTCTTCAGAGAGCTCGACCTCTGAGGACCCCCGTGACCCTGGCCCTTTAGAGGAATTGTCACCTGCTGTGTGGGAGGGATGTGGCCGTGCACGGATGCCGGCCTCTCACCACCCTTCCGCCGCTCCAGTTTGGCCTTCAGGGTGGAGTACGAGTCAGCATGGGCAGGGTTGTGTGTGAAGGATTGTGAGCGCTTTTTGCGTGGGTTGTCATCAAAGAACTCAATGATGAAGGCCTGCTGGGTGAGATGCTCAGGGGGCCCCTGCTTGGGTGTTTCTGTAGTAGGAGATGGAGCCTGAGGAGGGCTCTGGGACAGGGGTCGCTCAGGGGCCCCAGGTGAGGCTGGGGCCTTTCTGGGTGGAGAGTACTGCAGTGGCTGGTGGAGTTTCTGTACCGGAGCAGGCTGCTGACAGTGCACACACTGTACGCTTCGGACTGCTCTGATTGGCTAGACTGGTGAGCCTGGACAGGGTGATGGGATTTAGTCCTCCTCCCTTTTAGGACCGGGTCCTCTGAGTCACTCTGGGTCCCATCTTCGTGATGATGACCTGTCAATAAGAATAAAATCATGAAACCTCCAGTGACATGAAGTGTTGTTCTGCTGTTCGCACTGAGAATCAGCATCCACTCTGCAGCTCTGGGAACTTTCCAGCTCTTTGATTCTATAAGACTTACATCAACCCCTCCACCCCCACTTCACCTCCCTTCCAAATAAAACCACAAGAAGCTCTTTCCAGACTAATTTGTACATGATAAATCCTAAATCTACGTGAGCTGCAGAGCTGTGGACAGGTTGAAAGCAAAAATACAGGGATTAAAAAAGCAGTCCAGTCTACAAAGGTCAGAACCAAGGTGTTGGACAGACACCGATGTCGTCTGTCATCAGTGATCAATGGAGAAAACAGGATTGATACTGAGACATGAAAAACCCTGGCACGGCCCCATAATGACTCAGACACCAGGTGAGACTGACCTTTGAGCGTCTTGATGTTCATGGCGAGGTCACTCTTGGTGCTATAAACATCTTCACAGGTTGGACGTCTCTTCATGACACTGACATCACTGTGGACCAGCCAATCAGCCACCTTGCTCTCTGATGACATCAGCTCGGCAGGTGCGGCTGTGATGGTCATCTTGGTGGGCGGAACCTGCTGCTTCCTCTGGCGGGTGGAGAACTTGGTGACATGGTCTTTGATCTTGATTTTGCCAGGCATGCAGTCGTCAAACTCGATGGTGAAGGAGGCGTGGCTCTGAACAACAGGCGGGGTCTGTGTGGGAGGTGAGGGCGGGGCTGGGGGCGCATCCGTGTCCTTGGTGGGGATCTCGTGTAGCTCTGCCCCTGAGATTTTGGGGTGCTGGAAGTCCTTGGTGGGGATCTCGAAGTAGCTGGGTTCACGGTGGTAAGAAGGGAAGACGGTCTTTGGTTGGGAGTCTGACAGAGATCCGGAAAAGTCTGGATCCACAGCCAGAGCATCTTTCTGCACCTCTGACCAAACACATTAGTAAGGACATACCTTTTATATTAATACTGGTACTAATAATGAATTAACTGTAGTAATAATATACCACCTGGATTCTGTGAAACCAGTAAAGCTCAAGAAATACTTTTATAAATTCCTATGGGATATTTACCTGACTCATCTTCTTATTAATTTTCTTTAAAAAGTTGTAATTCTATGGCAAAAAGGATCAATTTTGTCATTTTTAACAGCAACAGACATGTCTTCCACTTACTGTAAAACTTATTCACATTACTTTCCCAAACACCTCAAACCTACCGACGTTGTTCTTATTTCCTTTTTAAACGTACATTAACAAGCTCTGACCGTACCTCCACTTTAATACTATTGTTATGAAAATGCACCTTTATTGTGGACAATATGAAGTTTTATGAATGGAAAGCTAATTATATTTAGTATATAAGAAATGCAGATTAAACTACTGACAATAAATTCAAATTATGAGCAGATTACATTTGAACATAATAATAATAATATATAGCTGCTGTGTAACCTCAGTACATGTACACATTATTATTATGGACATATTTGTTTGCAAGTTGTCACTAAATCATTTTCAAAACAAAGGCTTCAGCAGATTATTTTCATCTCAGAGTTAAGAATTTAAATACAACAGCTGTGGAAAGGTCAGACACGGGTGTTAGAGCACACGTGGACCTGAAACCTGGTCTCTGTGCTTCACTCTGAGCCCACAGTCCCTAAAGATGACAACGTATATTTTTACCTGGATGAGGCTCATCGCTGGTCTGAACTTTACTCCCATAATCCTCCTCTCCCCACCAGGACGGCTGCCCGTACAGAGGAGTGGGCCGACACACTGGGGCCTCTGAAACACATAGTCACTGCCTTCGTTATGCCCTTTAGTTTATGTCATTCTGAATTATTCATCTGACTTCCTGAGCCTGCGCTGTGTCTCATCAATAAGGCTCATTTGAATTTGAAAAGCAGAGAGATTTAACAGCTACACAATGTTATCAGTAAAGACTGATTGAGCTTCAAACAGGAAGGTTTTTGGTTCTATAATGAGGACTCATTAAAACATAATCATCAGGTACCAAGACAGTTTCAGAGTACTCTGTTATAACGCGTCATCTTCTCTCTTTTCTTTGTGTGCGTTTATTTTCCTGTCAGCGATGAGCGTGTCTGATTATAAAAGCTGTTAAACCAGCTGAACGTCATCACAAATGATTCAGATTCAGCACCAATGCAGCAGTTTGTCACAGGATATAATGTCGTCGTCCCACAGTAACCTTTAGACCCTGAACGCCACACAGGAAACCATCAACCTTCCACAGTAAAACACTTGGCCATGTGAGTAAAGCTGTGTAGCCTTACTGCTTTTCACACTGACGGTGTACTGCACCAACTGTAGTACTGTGGAAGTACTGTAGTAGGAGCGCAGTACGGTATACACCCGAGGTGGCATTCTGTGAACCAGTGGAGCAATAGTGCAGTACTTGAAACAAAGGTTCGAGCTGATAATGGCAGTATTTTTGGTGGTATTCAGTGCAGTTTATACTGTGCTTTGTGTCAGACTCTGCTTCTCTCTGCTTTGAGTTATTTGCAGTATTTAACACAGTATTTGTAGCATACCTTGCACCAGACTCTTGGTACTCTGGGTTTTTTCTGCTCTCATCCGATCCTCCGGCTCCGGCTTCTTCCCCTCTGGTGTCTTCAGGCTCATCTGCAGTTGACTGCTGTACTTCTCGTGCTGAAACAACAACACACTTCACTTTAAGTGACAGGGAGGACAGACAGCGGACGGTACTGCAAACAGCCAAAGGTGAACTGCATGTACTGATTAATCTTTTCCTCATGGTGCTGGATGAACAAAACAATTTGAAGTGAAAGAGAGGAGCTGTGCACGTGAAGTTATCAAGTCTTCATCACTACAACAGTGAAATGCAGCACACTCAGTTGTTCTTCTCATCTTTGTATACATGATGGTTTTCTGTTGTTGTTGTGTTAGTAAAGGAGACAGAAGAGGAAGTGATGGTGCCAGCGGTACCAACGGACCCCCATGCTTTAAATTCTGACGGGACACTCACAGACCACAGCTACATCAGTGCGGAGGTGTGTGTGTGAGTTTGCATCAAGCAGCCTATCTGTTGCTGTCACACAGGCATGTGACCACACTCTCTGACCTTCAGAGCCTCCTCTGGGACTTTGTGTTGACTTTTTTCCAGGATATACACGTGAGAATGTGGAGGGAAGGTTAAGGAAAACACTGCAGTGATCACCAACTGACACACACCGACAAATAAACACTGACACACAAAGACGTGGCATCTAAAGGATATCGTATCCAAAGCGGATGATGTCGGACAGCTTGAGGGTGATGTAGGTCTGATCAGGAATCCTCAGGTCGTTCACAAACGTCTGCAGAGACAAACACAAAGAACAACACTAAATCAATGAACCGGATGTATTCTTTTCATCTGCAGTATAGGTGGTGTGTTCACAGACACTCGGCCATATTTACTGAAATATACAGAATTAGCCCCGGACACAGAGGAGTGTGGCTGGAAAGTTAAAGCCTGCCCTGTGGAGGTTGCTTGTAGGGGTTTTGTGGCCAAGTGAGCTGCCTCCCAGTTAGGTAAGTTAGATATAAAACGGCAGCAAGATCCAGTGAGTGGCGCTGGAGCAGAAGGACAGTATGTGAGACGGGTAGAAATAGGTTAAGTGCTTTGAACAAAATTTTAAACTGCAACATATGTGTTGATTATGCCTGCTAAGGTGAAATAAACTAGAATAGAAGGACGAGATTAACAAAGGTTTGTTACATGTGGCAGGCTGGAGGCCTACTTCCTGGTGTTAGCATGAGCAAGGTTCAAGGACAGGGTTCAGGATGCTTTGTGTTAAGGGCAGGTTAGGTCTGGAAAATGGTGCTGCTTATTGTGGGGCTTGGAAGATTTATGACAGCCTGGCCTGACACCCCTCCCCTCTGGAGCCACATAATGGGTAAATATCATTTAACACGTATACTGAGCTTCTATATGAACGCTCTCCCAGTTTAATTCTGTATTACTGGCCGCTGATCATTCCTAAATGTCATCAACTGTTGTCATGTTGCTTGATTGTGGTGGTGTTTGTCATGTTGTTTGTTGTGTTGCCCTTCCTCACCCCATTCAGGCTGCCCAGGTCTTTCACCAGGTGTTCGTCGGTAGTCGGGTTGTAGTTGATAACAGCGTGTTGTTTGTCCACGCTGCGCGACTGAAGCAGAGAAACAGACCAGCAGTCAGCAGTTCAACCCCCTTCAGACATGCTAATAATCATTATCAAGTCCCCATCAAATATGAATTCATATAGAAAAGTCAGAGACATTTGGCAGCTTTTCAACTCAACTAACCCAAAACTTTGAGTATTGTAGAAAGCAGGACAATCAGGATACATCCAAAAGAACAAATAATGTTTGTTACTATTTCCTGTTCAGTCCAGTGTCCATTAACCCAACTCAGGACTCTTAATGTGAAATCCAAAACTTTGTCCTGCTTTCTACAATACTCAATCAGGATACATCCAAAAGAACAAATAATGTTTGTTACTATTTCCTGTTCAGTCCAGTGTCCATTAACCCAACTCAGGACTCTTAATGTGAAAATCCATCCCTTTCTTGTGTCTACCAACACAATATGTTGCATTTATGAAGTTGTGCTGATGAGCACCAGACTGATCTGATCTTTCGCCGTTTAGACTAACACCTCTTCAACCGAGCAGGACACACTGAGCGGACCAGACCGAGCTGGATCACCTGCAGCATCAGCTCACAGTCCTCCCGGCCCACGAAGATCATCTCCCTGGGGAGGCGGTGTCGAGTGCCCGAGCTGCTCACCAGGAACCATGATGTTACGCTCATCTTCACAGGCCTGCTGGGAAACCCCAGAGCATCCTGGGACATGTAGGCCAGACAGAGAGAGAGGGAAGAACATGATCCACATCCTATTAGAGCATCTTACTCATGTGACATCTGTGTTACATGTTACAATATTTCCAGTAGTTAAGAAGAGAACTCCATCCCTCTCCTCCTGCTACCAACACCTTTATTTTAAATTTGCCATCTCTATGAAGCTGAAGAGATCTGATCTGAAGCCACTTCTCAAAGCTCTTCGGTCATTACCATCATGCATCTTGGCCAAACAGTAAGCCTCTCCTCCAAACTCAGCCAACCTGCCTGATACGTCTCAAACTGAGCTTGTGCGACTGTGACACCACAGCCAGAGAGCACACGCCATCACGTGTACCTCACTGAGCTACACAACACTAACAACAATAGGTGGCATCACATAAATCACTAGAATGACACCTTTTCACTCTGATGACTGTTGTAAAGTATATGAATGAGTCAGATGTACCTTTGTATAATGGAGTTTACTTGTGAAAATAAAAAGCTGAAACAAACAAACGACAAATCCTGAAATTCCACAGTAATCACAAAAGAAAACCCTTCCCACCTGATCCATGTTTCCAAACACAGTCATCCTGAAGCTGCTCGCTGGTCTGTTGGTGAGAATTACTACTACATTGTCTAACAAAATCATTAAACCAGTAGAACTCTCCCATGAAGCAGATTCATTTCTGGAGAACAAACCTGGATCTGACAGAACTCACCAGTGCGTGACAAGTCTAACTGCTTCCAGTTTATTCTTATGATGCATGTTCATATTTACTGTAGTTTAAAAGACACTAAAATCTAAAACTAAAGTTACATAAGTTTAATATTTCATATTCACACCAAGTTCCTCAGTTTGCAGCCTTCCTCTACTGATGCTTCTAGAATCATTACCTTAACCTATTGTTTACCGTGTGGTTCCAGTTCTGGTTATTAAAAGTTATTATTCAAAACACAATTTATTATTGTTCTGAATAATTTGCACTATATCTAAAAACTAGTTTATGCCTAAACTCTGTCCGGAGTCTAGTCACTGAACCTGAACTCGAACATGTTCGGTTTGAGGACTCGTTACTATGGCAACAGCCCCACATTAACTGTAAGGAGCCGAGAGGTCCAGACAAGAATGCAAGTGATGCAGGTCTGAAGACCAGAGTCCAAACCAGACTGGTCCAGTGGCTGATCCGTTTTCCTCTGCAGTCACATCAGGACCAGGACCAGACTGAGTCTCGTCCGCTCTGCTGCTGCTGAAACTCTCCGTTAGTCGACTGAGAGAAAATTAGTCACTGCCACTTAAGTGTCAAGACTTTCTGCTTTGTTTAACGGAGACCACATCGGGACTGAAGTCTTGAAGTAGGACTGAGGAACTGAGATGGACGTTTCACTGCTCAGTTTGTCTCTGTGCTGCTGTGACAGTGAATCTTACTTCACAGACCAAACAAGTAATGAGCTACTTAATAAAATAACCTTCAGACAGTGCTTGGTCTACGCAGCTCCGACTACACAGGCCTCAGTCAAAGGATCACGTTTGGTTACACGCTGAAAAACAACCGAACCTGAAGGAAACACCTGACAGAAGAGGCACCAACGAAGAAGAAGAGCACCGATTGGATCCTCACAGCTGCACCTTGTATCTCAGGAGGTTTGTTTCGTCACACTCATCAGCCATGAAGCCTGTCAGAGCCGCTGCTCCAGAGGAAGCAGCCTGCAC